TTGATACGAATATCGATATATTTTTGTTATGCATAAAGTACTGTATATTGATGCATATTACTTAAAATTCAAGATTACAAGTAATTATGCATAAGTAAAACTTATTAAAGCTCGATGTATGAATTCGCATAAATAACTGCAGATAAACATAATAAAATAGAGGATGGACATCTCATTTTAAAATATAAAAAATCTAAAATATAATTAGAATAATTATCGAGTTCCAAAAAAATAAATAATTATTATCTTTATAAAAAAATTATATTAGTAAAACAAATATAAATTACTTCGTTATTGTACATAAATTAAATTATAAAAAAATTGAATTAAAAAATTACACAAAAAATGAGGAATTTCAAATAGTTAATAGCGATGTATTTTTGTCAAATTTTTATGACATCTTCAAACATATATTTTATTTAAAAATAAAAACATCATCGTTTTCTCAAAATCACATAAAGCCATATTATAACATCGACTGAGATAACGAATAAAATGAAATATTAAAATCACGATGTATCTCGATGCATTGCGCGAGTACGCTTCTAGTTGTATATAATTAATATTTATTTTTATAATTAATAGTAATAAATAATAATTAATATTAATGAGCAGTATAATTGAAAATAGTGACAAAAAACTCTTCCAACTAGTGATTCAATAAGTTAACTTATGTTCATCCAAATGTGTACTCAAAATTATCAAACAATGTCTAATTTGTTTTTTTCTTTCTCACATTCTACTTGAAAATGTAAAATAGATCAACATATATATTTTATTTGGTAAAAACTTATTTTGTACTAGGTATTATAGCTTACATTTATTTAAAATTTACACTCAGCTATATTGTACGGGTATACAACTAGCACCCGAAGGATAAGAAAAAGACAAAAATTAAACATAATTAACATTTTATGTTATCGACTTTAAATTGATATGTACACCACAATATCATGCGGATACCTTACCAGGGTCACATAAAAACTAGAGGTGATCATTTGCGAGCTATTTTTTTTGTCCAACAAGCCTAATATTGTAAACCCAAGTCATTTTTTCCGGCTTGACAACTTGCCATTGCCCGCCCTATAAATGGGTCGGGCTTGCCCATGGGCAAACGGGTCTAAAATGTAACTCTTATAAATCTATAAACTTGATCACTAAAAATTAATTAACAAATGTGGAACCAAAAGTAAAGAAAAAACACCGTTGCAATTATAATTTTAATCGACTAAAGTGACACATGGATCTCAACAAGTGGAGAAAAGAAACGAAAAACAAAATCCAGACTTCCAGAAAATCAATAATGCATTTCCATGGTTCCATCATGTTGCTGCAAATTTCAAACCTCCCAAGTTTTGATCAAGAAAAAACCAATGAGTCCTAACTTCCATCATATAAGATATAACTTTAAAATATATTAGTATAGTACTATAATTATAATTAATGGTAAAAAATATTAATTATAAAACATAAACGGGCTGGACGAACCTGTCCATATTTATTTTTACATTGTACATGTTCGTCTGTTAATTTTAACGAACAAACTCGGACCCGCCTATTTTCTCGATAATGATTATCAAAACTCGCATTTCTAACGGAACGGATGAATCAGATCTAACGGATCGTCCCACCTATAAACGACTCTAATAAAAACCATCCAGATGATTAAAATTTTAATAAAAAAGTTAAAGTAAAAGTCTACATAAAATTAATCTCTACCCGTTTAGCTCTAAAAGGGTCGGGCCGACCCGAGTCAGAACATCACCCTGTTGAAGAAACCTGCTGTAAAACCCTAGCAAAACCTCCTCTCCCTCGCATACACACTGAAATGCACAGAACTGTTAGACGAGCAGTTATAATCGGAAATGGCTTCGCCGGAGCTGAGAATCAGTGCTATGGATTAATTCGAGCTTTGGGCCTATTTAATCGGCATTCTTTTTATGTAAGGGTTTATCATTCCCATGCTTCCTTACTTCTGTTTCTGAGCCTCAAGATATCGAGCGAAATCTCATATTTGACTTGTCATGTTAGGACGAGCTTATGCATTATCGAGATTATTGCATTTGTTCAATCATATTGGCAACCCACAATCTACCCATGTTACACTGTCATCACTTAACTGCTGTAGTAGTTCTTGAAATTGTTACGAGCTATGATTTACACTTTTTATACTGTTTGTTCTTATTTATTCTCACTGTTCGAACAGCGTGTTCGTAGGCCAAAAGATGGGATCAGTAAGTGGCTTAATTGGCTCCCTGTTTCTACCCACAAAAGATTAGACCAATTAAAAAGGCAACTCTATGATCGACAGTTCATATTTTCTGGTCATGGGCAGAAGGCTGCTGCAAGATTAGGTAGCATGTCTATTCATGTCCCAGATTGTTGTTATCTGTCTATAAAATATAAATTACGAGTAACAGATTTATTATATGGGAAAACAACTCTATTTCTTATCATTAAGTTTTTATGGATAAATGTGAGGGGATAAGTGACGTTGCAGGGGAACTTATGCCTCATTCTGCTGTTAATGCTGGTGCAGATCAATCAGATATCCAAGAAGCTGATGCCCAACTAATTGCAACCAATGCTAGTGAGAATTTTGAGAAGTATGCTTTATTTTCATCTCACCATTTCCTGTTTCTGGGCCCACCAGATATCGTTATTAAGATCACGTTTTTAACATCCCTCATCTGGTTTATGCCATTTGTAGTTCAACCCATATGTTTTACGTGGATACTAGTGTCTTTGCAATTTAGAAGGTCGTATATCGCAAATATCTTGAACAGAGTGGAGCGAGGAATAAGGATGTGAATATATAACATGCATGAAAGATTAAGTGTGTGTAACCATACAAAAGCTTTATGTATGTATAGAACTTTAGCTTTTACACGACAATTCTTTAGAGCTAATTATAACCCCAATGTCTTGGCACTGTTTAGTGACATCCAGCCATCCAGGTTGTCTCATAACCATGAATGGTTACAAGATACATTATATATATATATATACACACACACACGAACTTCTCTAACTTCTAACAGGGTTGATGGCTCTTGCTTCTTCTTATGATTCTTTAAAAAAGATATTTTCCCTTCGCCCTTTTATTTGAATGGTGACATCTTTTACCTCAGCCATTGGTGAGATTTGACATTCGTGTATAGAATGGAAGTAATTTATTACTCTAAAGCTTGCTGCATATTAGAAGTTTGGGAGAAATTTGTGAATTGAATTGAATTGAAAAGTGAAATAATAATGTACAACACCTATTTATACAACAAATATCTAACCAAGGTCTAACAAACTAACTGATACACTTAACCGCCTTAACATACTTAAACTAATAGCCTCCCTATAGCTTTATATTGAGATGTAACCATAAGTCAGATCTACATGTTTATGTGTGCACCATTCATTAGTTCATGCCTCTTGATCTGCATGTATCAGGAAGACTGCTTCTTAGGGAAATGGTTGTATGGATCCAAGTTGTTAATTATTGTTTCTTTTCCTTAGAGATGGTCCATTATTGGTGGTTGCATCTGGCCGAGATACCATCTCTGTTGCAAGTTCGATTAAACGGTTAGCTCCACATCATGTTTTCAATATACAGGTTTGAGAAGAGACTTTTTATTTTTATGTAACTTCAATTCTTCTTACTTCTTTTGTCAGCTGTGAAGTGTATGACCCCTGAAAGGCGATTATTTTTGCTACTTTTGCTTTTTACCCTTATGAAGAGACATTCCATGCTTTATACATGATTGCTTCATTCTCTTGTATCATATTCTTATAGCCATCATTCACCAGTAAAAGATATATGCCCATCTTCTCACTAATAGTTATTATCATCAGAAGTAAATGCCATCCTGGCCGGGTTTTCTTATAAATCAGTCCGGATATTTGTACGTTTTGCAATCATTTTGATAAAGAAGTTTTTGTTAAAGTTCTATGCCAATGCTGGTTATCATACTTGCTGCCATTTATTTACTCCCTCTGTCCCCAAAAAGAATGCAAGGTTTAACTTGACACTACTAACAATCAAATACCTCAATTTCCCCTTAATAAGACAAAATTGATAAACCAGTGGAACATAATTAATCTGATTGGTATATTGTAATCATTATTAATAAATGTAGGGAATTTTGGATTGGATCTTACTAAAAAGAAAAATCATTTTTTGCGATGGAGCGAGTAACAAGTAACTGCTCAATAGAGTAATTTCTCTATCCTATTATATGGTTATGTTCTCAATTGCTTATCATGGTTGTCCATTTGATATAGAACCTAATTATGAAAGACATCTATTGTGCTATTATGGTTGTAGATACAACACCCACGGTCACATCTGAATAGGTTTGATTTGGTGATCAGTCCTTGTCATGATTATTATCCTTTGACTCCTGAAGGGAAGAAACACATTCCTTGGTTTCTTCGTATGTGGATTACTCCTCGTCAACCTCCTGGAAGAAATGTGGTTGGTAACATCCTTGCTTGAAGTGCTCATGCGTGATGAATATTACTTTATGCAAGTGCGAACAAATATATACTATATTTTAATCGTAAGTATACTTATGCAGCTAGTTTTATATACTATCCCAGGTCCTCACACTGGCAGCCCTTCATCAAGTTGATTCAGCTGCAGTACAGAGTGCAGCCTCAGCCTGGCATGATGAGCTGGCATCATTGTTGAGACCCTTGCTTGTGATCAACATTGGAGGACCTATTCGTGAGTGTATTTTCAGATTGTCCTTTTCTTCCATCTTTTCTCTCTTTAGAAATGTCTGCTAAAATTACTATCTTCACTTCTTTCCAGCAGACATTCATTTTTAGTTTGCAGAAAAGAACCAAATGAGTAATTTTCTACTTGTGCATTCTGCCAAGTTCTCTGAATTAATAAGACCGTTAGATATTGGCTTGTATTAGGTCACTGCAGATATGGTGCCGATCTTGCAAGGGAGTTAACGGCATCATTAATAAATGTTCTTCCAACTTGTGGGAGTGTTAGAATTTCATTTTCTAGGCGAACACCCAAACAGGTACATATTTTTTTAACATTGCTCCAAACGTAATAAAGAGGGGGATTCAAGAGAGAACCCCAAAGAAAAGGAAAACAAGAGAACCCCTCTGAATCGTTGGATATAAAAAATAGATGGCCCATATCCGAAAGTAGATTCCCCTATAACTGTGGATTTATTTTCCAAAAAAACGTAACCGTTCCTACTATTCACAACCATTGGATTAAAATAGATAGATGATTCAAATGGGTTCCCTTGTTCTCCTTTTTCTAGCATGCTCTCTTGAACCCACCCTCATAATAAAATGAAAAAAGAAATTCGTTGTCTGAAGTATTAACCAACAGGTGTCTGAGATTGTGGTAAGGGAATTTCATAACCATCCTAAGGTTTATATCTGGGATGGCGAAGGTACCCTGCCCCTCCATCTTTAATGATTTCAGAATAGTACTTCCCGAATAGGAACATAAGACATTGATAGTGGTGAATAAATTATACCATGTAGATCCAAATCCACACATGGGACATCTAGCTTGGGCTGATGCTTTTGTCATCACTGCCGATTCAGTGAGCATGCTAAGCGAGGCTTGCAGTACTGGGTAAGCATCTTAAGGATCTTCGACATTGGCATGGCCGTAGCATCTCCAAAAGAGAAAATATAATTTTTTTGAGTTTTTAACCTTTTTTGCTCCAACAAGTCCCCCGAAACTTTCTACAAAATGGAGAAAGTGGGAGAGAGAGGATATAAATCTGCAAATGTGGAGAACTATCCAAAATTAAATGCTGAACAGAGAAAAATGTTTTTTATTGTTCCCACCAATGAAGTTGAAATGCATTATTTAAAATAATAATAATTAATATTTGAAATATCTAAAATGGAGTTGTAATGTTTTTAGAGATTTAAATTTTGCTTTTCTATTTTGTAGAAATTATAGAGAAGCTGTTGGAGTTACTCTCACTTTTTAAATACCAAATTTCTTTTTCTTCTTCTTGGTATGTATGTGAGTGTCTTTTTATGAAAGTGTCTTGTTCTTTACATTCCAGAAAGCCTGTTTATGTAATTGGAGCCGAGAGGTGCACATGGAAGTTTGCATACTTCCAGAAATGTCTGCAAGAAAGAGGGATAGTGCGACCGTTCACTGGGAAAGAGAATGTAAGTTGCAGCTACTTGCATACAAGAATCACCCAATGTGATAACTTAAGATCACCATAGCAACCAAGGGGCCTTTGGCCTAGCAGTATGTGAGTCATTGACCTCTTAGGAGGTCAAGGGTTCAAATCTCACAAAAAGTGAGGAGGGTGTGTGAGTTTATTTGTTCTATTTCCTGTATATAAATATTATATATTTCCAAAAAAAAGACCACCATAGCACTTTTAATAGCAAATGCAAAAGACAACTTTTAACTTCCCTTGGGAGTATCTGATTTCCAATTATACATGATCTCATTTTGTATGCTTCTCTTTAAGTTTGCGGTTCCATTTAACCGATAATCATGTCGTCCGTGCATTGAGAGTTTATGCCATTTTCCCACATTCATGATTCACCATTTCCATCTTCATTTCTCAACTGGGACCAAAATCACATGTAAATAAAACCCACAAGAGTTGACCATCTCACCACCTATTTGAAACCTTCTGTTTTATAAGTTGCTTGATCTTTCTCTTCAAAGCCACTTCTTTTTCTCATCCTTTTTTTGGTTTTCTTTCCTTCTTTAAGACTAATGGATTCACATGTGAATATCTTTGAGCCAAAGATTTTAATGCTAGCCTGTTGTAAGAAATAATCAATTGTAAAGATTTATATTTCATGGTGTTCCTGTACAGATAAGTGAAACATGGATCTATCCTCCACTACGAGACACAGCGGAGGCCGCTGAGCATGTGATTGAAGCACTTGCTGGGCGGGGCTGGAAATTGCATACATGATGGGGTCATAATTATTAGCTTAACCGACGAATAAAGCTTCAGTATTCAGGTTCCTCGCAAGGTTTGAGTCCCTCTAAAGCCATTGGAGATTATTGGTTGTTCTTATGGGATTAGTCAATGTGTCTGCAAGTTGGCTCGAACAACCACAAAAAACCAAAAAAAATGTTTGCTTGGCCAGGCCAATTCAGGTCAGGACTGATCTGGGTTTTTTTTTATTTCTTCTCCCTCAATAGTTCAAGATCTTGTATCAATAGAGAATGCTACCCCTTGCCACCGGGGATTTTTATGCCTGTTATCTTTAGGATCCCATGAGATTAGTCGAGGTGCACACAGCCTGGTCCGTACATCCACGATTAAAAAAATGATGATCAGACCTTTCTTTGAGTGGTATGTTGTTTGGGTTCGACTTGAGAAAATATATCAAACTCGAACATGACTTGAACTCGAATAATTTTATCAAAAATAGCTTAATGCTTCTTTAACAATTCTAAGTTATACACTATGACTTAAAATTCAAACTTTGGAAGTTTGTTTAGGGGCTCAAACTCGAGATGGATTAATTTATTTATTGGATCGAGTTGGATAATTTTTGTTTATATTGATTGCATGATTTATGAACATATTACTATGTTTGGTCTAAGATGTGTATGCTTGTACAGCTGTACTTGATTCGCCTCTGAAAATTTATTCGAACTTCTAAATGAGCCGAACCGGACATTGGTGCTATGAACTCTTCTCATTAAGTTAGATGAGATCTGTTTCGTGTTCGAGATTGACTCAAGCTCAAGAATTATTAAACTCAATAAATGTTCAACTGGTTAATGAGATCTGTCTTTACATTTAAAGAACCATTATGGTGGCAATAAGTTAAAAACTTTGATTTAGAAAACTTGAACATTTATAGCAATTTAGAGGAAATTTACCAACACAAATTGCATAAGCGCTAACCGGATAAGAGTGTGATTTGGGTAAAAAATACAGTCTGGATAAACGTTAAGCAAGTAAGAGAGTGTTTGAATCTTTGCCGTGTTGGCATATTGGTCAACATCGTTTGCTGATAAACAACCTCATCTCTTACCAAATAAGCTTTTCTTAGTAAAGTACGGATGATAATTAGCAAACAGACCTTTAGGAGTTGTTTGGTTGATATTTCATGTCATGTATGGATAAAGTTGTGTGTGGATTAATCTATTTGTATAGATTGGGAAAATCTTTGTTTTAGAGGATTTTATATTGATGGAAGGAGCGTGCTTTTAAGTGGGATGAACAATTTCAGAAAAAAAAAAATTGACTTTTTGTAAAAAGATCTCCTTGAAAGCTTATTGAATAAGTTATTTTCTATAGTATTAGAATCTGTCAAATGAATCAAAAATTGAAGGAATTTAATTAGGTCTAACTAAGCGTTTGGTTGGTAAGAATTTGAATGGAATATGTTGAAAATAATTGAAATTTCTTTATTTGGTTTGCTAAATATAACTTTAGAATTATAATAAGTTAGTGATGGATTACCAAAACAACTATTTATAATCTGTTTGTTTGGTTCGTTGAATATAATAGTGATGGCGGGGTCGAGTCAGTAGTGGTGGTGACAACAATGAAGGTGATGGTGGGGATGAAGGTTACGGTGGTAACGATATTAGGGTGAAGGCTACAGTGGTAACGACATTGGAGGTGAAGACAATGGTGATAACTGCGTAGTGGTAGGGATGGGACCCCAATCCCCGTCCCCGTACCCGATCCTCGATCTTTGTTCCCGTCCCCATCCCTACCGGGAAATTTTATCACATCCTTATCCCCGTCCCCAACGGGGAACGACGATTTTCTTTTTCATGTTTGTGTAAAAAAATTAAATAAAATGTGTGAGATGCTACACATGTTTAAATATCACATTTTTCCAATAAAACCTAAAATCACAAAAAAATTAATTTAATACGAAAAATATACATCATTATACAATAATTAACAAAGGGAAACAAAAAAAAAATCTCAAAAAACTAACGTCACATGTACCAAAACATATCGAGTAATATCCAAAACATATTGAAATAGAAATTACCGTTTACCGATTTAATAGCAATAAATAATATATAATATAATATAATTTATTAATATATATATATGAGTACGGGACGGGGCGGGGAGCGATGATACCCGTCCCCGTCCGCATCCCCGGTTTGAGCCAAACGGGGATCCCCGTCCCCGAGACCCGGTTTAACGGGGAATCCCCGTCCCCGACGGGTCGGAGCCAATTTCCATGCCTACGTAGTGGCGACGATGGTGGTGACAACCATCATGGTAGGGTGGAATAAAATAGAGTACATATAAGAGTATACAAAATTTTCATTATTTTTTGCTAGAATCCAAGGAATATTTACCAAAACTCAATAGAACCAACCAAATGGATGAATGAATTTTGATCGATAAAATCCACCATTTAAATTCCTTCAAATTCTGTTGGATTCAAATGAACCGAACGTCACCTTAACATTATTTTGTTAACGGAATGCATGCATGAGGGCATAAATGTCTTTTACCTTCGTCCTCTCTACCTTCTTTTTTCTCAACCCAAACAGCTATCTAGAATACTACTTTTAAATCCATGAACATCAAGAACACGTAAATAAATACCACGAATTTCAAAACACAGTATAGACGTAGTATAAGTTTCTTATTCATAATTTTCATCAAAACACATGGATCTAATTCGTAATTCATTCATAAATTAATAATGCATACAAAATCTTTCAACTTTATGATATTTTTATTTTATCTGTTTTATAAATAACTAGTTGTATACCCGCGCAATGCAGCAGGTGTAAAAGTTCATTAAAATTTATTCAATTGCAAAATATCAAATTCTTTCAAAATGTCATAAAGCCTACAACATTTGTACTTACAGTAGATTCAAATAACCATCTATGCGAAATGTTGGTGTTAGTAGCTTCTATAATCATTCGTATAAAAATAAACCTTTTATGTGGAATGTGTATAATAACAAACCCCTTTGTAATTGTAGTTATAGGTGGAAAGAATATGATTCATTTTTCGTAAATCCTTTCTAAGGTAAGATATCCAAAAAAAAAAAAAGTTACAAGCATTAAATATATGTGGTGATTTAAATCATCTTTTTGGATTTTGGGTCATTATCATTCCAAGTCAATTTTTATTCATAATTATTGAAAATTAGATCATACATAACCTAATTTTACAAAAAAAAAATGTGTACCCAAAATATATTTGAAGTATTCTTTCAAATGCGACTTAATTCTGTACCCTATTATATTTGATGACATGTCTCAACATTTTGTTTTAAAAACTGATCAAGATCAACCTTGTCATTAAAAGTTTGTCGAATGACAAAAGGAAACACTAATGGTCCATTTGATTTGATGTAATGTTTTTGAGAGATTTAGGGGGTGTTTGGATTGCTTATAAAAACAACTTACTGACTTATTTCGGTGTGGCACCAGTAATAAGCATTTTTGAGTGTTTGGATAAACAATTTATACCAGTGTCAAACTGGTAATAAGAAGTTTTTGAAGAAGTTAAATCTTTTGAACTTATAATAAGTTGATAAGTGTTTTTATAGAAAAACATAAGTTGTTTCAAATAAGCAATCCCAAACACTCCCTTATATTTTATTGAAAGATTTGGAATCGGGGGATTTGAGATTTTTGTAAATTGATAACTTTTCAAGATCATATGCATCACCAAACAAATTGCAACTTCAGATATCATAGTTAGCATTTGGAAGCACAAAAAACCAAAAAGTGATGTCTTAAAATTCAACTTATTTAATTCAATTCTTAACCAGATTTTGCCTAATTCCTAATTTAAAACAACAAGAAGCCATCACATGTAATTGTTCCCTAAATCTTTGATATTTTTATATAACAAAACATGTTAAATAAATATATTCAACTACAAAGTGAGTTCATTGACAACAGTTAAATCTGGCCAGGATTGCAAAGTGAGTTCATTGATTTGAATACATACATACATACAATAAGTCAGTCATAAATAACCCTTAATCAACCCCACTTTAATCGGTCAAAATATAACCGATCCTGGTCCGAATTCAAAACTTAGTTGGAATCAAGATCAAAGGCAACAAACATCAATTCCACTCAATACAAACTTTTTAATGTATCACAAGGATTTAATCTAAGAACTCTTCAAAGGAAATCAAAATAAAATCTAAAACCAATTCCTTCTGTTAAATGAGTTACAAACCCCAAACATAAATTAGAAACACCGAACTTTCTAAATCACACTCAAAGAGAAAGCTCTCAACTTACATTAAATTTGTTTATACAACAAAATTTTCACATCAAGACTACTTATTATATCGACAATTTGATCATCCACGAGAAAGAAAATAGCAGTCCATAGGAACACTAAGAAACGCTTGGGAAGGATGGTCGATCTCTAAGAGTATCAAAAATGGATGAAGATGCCGAACTCTGTTGTAAAGTGTTTCTAAGGCGGCCCAGCAACTCACCGTCTTTAGTCTGTGATGCAGCAACTTCTTTTGCCATGCCTATTCGAGCATAAGCCTGTTTCATGCAAATACATTTTTTTCATTAATATGGATACGATTTTAGCATCAACTCTATGAGATGGAGCTATTCGAGATATGAAAGGTTGTTGGGTTAGAGTAAAACTAGCAATTAATGTAACCGAAATCCCCATTTGATTGGTTTAAACATAAGCTGACAGCGGTTACCTTAAGGAGTGCCATCGTGATAACAGAAACACACATTATGTAACGTTACCTAGCACATGTGTGTGGACTCAAAGTCATTAATAGCGACAACTCCACAATGTATTTGTGAGGCTATCGCTTTGGCACGATGTTGATTGCTAGGAAAAACAGCACATCCAAGCCTATATTTTGAGTCATTTGCAAGCATGATAGCCTCCTCATCAGTCCAAAAGCCTGTTCGGAATTACATCATCAAGAACTCAATGTACTTCCTCTATTAAACCCATCAAAGCCATTCTTGGTGAAATCAAACTCGAATTAGTTGTTATCACTTGCTTCCTCCTGCATCAACTTCATCTCGTGGTTTACGTTACAATAATGTTGAATTAATAAATAAGCTAGCTGAATCTCTCTTGCATAAATGTTGAAGCGACTCAAAAATTTTCCCGATCCGAATATGAGAAAAGTAACGAAATCGTACCAATATTACCAAAAAGCAACCATACAAAAGAGGTTGTTTATAGAAAAGTCAAGAACATGATTTTATTAGTTATCATGTCAAGGTTTTTAAAAGGCTACAACATCGCATACCAGAGTTGATCATCGAACTCACCCTCTTCTTTTTCATGTAAAAATGAATGAGTAGAAACAAAAAAAATACCAACTCAAAACCAATCACGTTCATATCACATCTTTAATTGCGTTTAACATACTATCTGAAAATTCAGACGATACCTTCCCGCTTCTGTTATTTCTTTTTGCCTTCTCCAGCAAACGAGCAACATATTCCTCAAAGGTCTCATGAGCAAGGCTCTCATCACCAACATCTCTAATTCCATGTCAAGAAAAAAGAAAAAAAACTGATGCAGCTCAACTGGAACATTTGTTTCAAATAACAAACATGGGAAGCCTCATCAAATACCATACCTGTATTTGGAGCTTTCCTCAAAGAGTTGTTGGCACTCCTTCCATGTGGAAGATGCAGTAATTTCCTGAGTTCAAGCACCAAAAAGTGAAGGTAAGATGATCTACAGAAGCTCTTTTGGACATGTAGTATATCATTAAGGTTTGCCAATGATACAGGCTTCATGTACCTTGATGTGATACAATAACTCGGTGAACTCTTTGGCAAGACGCTGACGCTTTTTAGCTTTCTTCTCTTCTTTCCCCTTAGCCCTCTCATGTAGGTCTTCAAACACAAGCTGGAAAGAAGTAAAACATTGCAAGACTCAGAAGACACTTAGTGGCCGTTTACCAAACACTTACCCAGTAAGTGTTTACCGATAAAATTTAACACTATTATTTACTTACTGGGTAAGATTTTAGTCCACAAAAACGACAACGTATGCAACAATTTACTCGGTAAGCACTTATTCTGGTAAGAGTCGTCGCCCTCATTTACTGGTTAAGACTCTTAGTCCTTGTCACACTCTTACCGGGTAAGATTCTTGGTCCTTACCATATTTGAGCGTGATGCGTAGAGGAGCTTGAATCGCAATTTTGGGGAATGAAATCATCGCTTTGGGAAGGAAGCCACCAGAGCGTGTTGAAGCAATAATTTGTGCCAGAAAGCGTGCTGGAAGGAAGCAAGAGCTATAATTTGTGTCTTGTACATCATGCTTTTAAATAATTGTGCTTTAAAAAACAATACTATATGTAATAAAAGTTGTTTTTAAGACTTTAAGACTTATAAGACAATTATCAAATTTGGTTTATAAGATAATATAGATATAGATATAGAAGATATAGATATAGATACCAACTACATCAGTAACATCAATGCTCTGAGTGCCTTTCAGCTCCAAGTTCCACTATAAGCAAATGGCTTCAAGGTGAGTGATCCAACATGACAGATATCATGAGCTTTATAAACATAGGTGCCAATTTCTTCTTTGTTTCTACACCCCAACATGCCAAAATCTTGCATTCCCACTATTTCATTTGCAAACTTGACATCTGGACAACAAAACTCGAGTATATTAGCAGCTTGAATTGAAGCAGAACAGTAGCTACCAACTAAAAAACAAACGCATCATAACATCCAATACATAATACATAAAGAAGGTTGGATGTAGATGGAAGCTCTCATGTTATTATAGAAATTTAGTGATAAAAAGAAGAGACGGAAAGTGTCAGTTATTGATAAAAAAAATACAGAGATATTTAAAGCTATATAACACAAGCTGTAAGAGGTCAAAAAATAGGTAATAATGTGTTGATAAATACCAATATTTGCAGACCCATAAAAGAGAACGCTAAAGCCAAACCGATTAGTGATGATAACTTGGTCCCAAACCTTTGAACCTCTTGATCAGGGATCCTTGAAAACTTGCCGGAAAACTTAAAGAAAGGGCACACATATAACTATAAAGTCAAAAGATCCAAACCAAATATTCATTCAACTGAAAGTAAATAAACAAGTATGCTTTTTATGGTCAAGACGGAAAAAAGCACAAAAAGCTAAAACTCATATTCATTAGCAACTCAACCACTTGTCTGGTACGGTAAAAATTCACTAACTCCTTGAGAAATCGATCAAAATTGGTGCTTATAAAAATTGCATCTCAGTTCGAAACGAAGCTGGAAACTCTGAAGTAGTGCAGATCCTAAAAGAAAACAGAATCGATCAAGAGACGGTGAGAAATAAATATACATGAAAGTACAAAAGGAAATCGATCAAGAACCAATGAGAAATCATCAAAAGGAAACTAAATAAAAGGAAATCAAACCCTAAATCAGCTCTCATCAACACGAAACCACAAAACATTGTACATGAATCGAGAGAGTAAGAAAATGGAGGTATAAATCGAGGAGAGCGAGAAAAAAAAACCTTGCAATCGAGCGTGATCGTTGTCTTGAAAACCTGCAATCGAGCGTGAGGAATGGTTTATGCATCAGCTCTTATCAACATGAAACCTGCAATCGATAGTGTGTGGAATTGGAGGTATGAATCGAGAGGACCCAGAACTAAAACCTTGCAATCGAGTGTGTTGGAGGCTTCAATCGTCGTCTTGGAAAGGGTTTATGCATAATATGGTAGTACCTTAGGTTTTTAAACAGATGAAATCTAATCCGGAATCGATGAGATCGGAAGGGAATTCGATTTTTGTTGGGCGAAGAAAATGGACAGGATATATAATTTAATTTAAGTTTAATAATAAAATAATTTATTTTTGGTTTAATATTATATATTTTATAAAGATAATAATTAAGTATTTTGTTAGAATTTAATAATTATATTAATTATATTTTAAATTTTTTATATTTAAAATAAAATGTCTATTCTGTATTTGATTGTGTTTATCTACAGTTAGTTATACGAATTTAGATATGGGATGAAATCGGATAGAGATGAATGAAACCGGGTTTAAGAGTTTTTAAGAGTTTTAAGAGTTTTTAAGAGTTTTAAGAGTTTTAGCCAAATGTTTTATAAGATAGTATAGATAAAAATGGAAGTTTGAAGGGTTTTAGGAACCCATATTACCTTTTTTTCAAATAAAACGGATCAAGTTTCCAATACTTATCAAAAAACAATAATATTGTTTTTTTAAAATTAAGGGGCCGTTTACCAAATGCTTACTCCGGTAAGTGAACACCAAGTCATTTTACCTTAACGGATAAATATGGTAATGATAAAAAATCTTACCAGTAAGAACGAGACAATGACCAAGAGTCTTACCCGGTAAGTGAGGGCGACGACTCTTACCACGGTAAGCGCTTACCGGGTAAATTGTTGCATACGATACCGTTTTGGTGGACTAAAATCTTATTTGGTAAGTAAATGATAGTGTTAAATTTATCGGTAAGCGCTTACCGGGTAAGTATTTGGTAAACGACCCCTAAAATGGATTACCATTGATTCTAAAATAAATTATCTTAGATAGGAGTCAATATTTTAACTAAGCAAACTATACGATAAAGTGAGCATTTTATTGTCTTCGATTTCATACTCAAATCGATATATTTTTTTTCCTATTTCTTAAAACTATTTATACATAAACTAATATGTATATTCATTATGAATATTGATGTATATTTATGTACGTATTAAACCCTTCACATCACTATGATATTTATTATGTAAACGATATTCTTAAAATTCGAGTTTAAAACTTATTATACGATATGTACAAAATCATAAAAATAAAATTAAGATGATTTCTTAACCAAGACAGAATCATAGACATAAAATTAAGAGAGATGAATAACAAAAACATGAAACAAGTTTTGAATTCTCAATCTTAAAATCAAGATTAAAGGACCGTTTACAAAACACTTACTTGGTAAGTACTTATCGGATAAATTTGCTCATTGGATGAACATGAGAAGAGCCAATAATCTTACCGGGTAAGAGCAATGAGAATGATTGAGAGTCTTATTCGATAAGTGAGGATGACGACTCTTACCCAGGTAAACGCTTACCCAATAAATTGTTGCATTCGATATGTTTTGATGTACTAAAAATCTTACACACCAAAATAAATCATAGTATTAACTCCTATCGACAAGTGCTTACCGGATAAGCAATTGGATAAACGGCCCCTAAGTTGTGTTGTATTAAACACTCCAAAGTCATGTTATAATGTCTTAAGATTTTTTAGTATTTTATAAATAAAATTGTGATTTTAGAAATTAAAATGAATTAAGTATCATTTCAATCTTTTTTTTATATTCATAGATTAACAACTATTTATTATCGAATCGATACTGGAATAAGTTAATATATTAGGGGTGTTTGAGATTGCTTATTTGAAACAACTTATGTTTTTCTACAAAAGTTCTTATCAAGTTATTATAAGTTAGAATAGTTTAACTTCTTTAAAAACTTCTTGTACCATTTTAGCACCGGTATAAACTGTTTATCTAAACACTAAAAAATGTTTATTACCAATAACACAACGAAATAAGTCAATAAGTTATTTTTATAAGCAAATCCAAAACACCCATTGACGGGTGTAAATAGTTTTTACTCTATTCAAATATTTAAGAAAGAAGGAATAAATGAGAATAAATGAAGTATCATCCCAAATCTTTTTCTTTATTTAGCGCGAAGAAAGAAAGCGTAGAGATTACTGAAAACTTGGGGAAGGGAGAGTGTAGGCGGTAATCGACTGACTCAGAACGTATACAAATCTCTCTTATTGGGTTTAGGGTTTTGGAGAGGTGTTTCGATTCATCGCTTTGTCAACCGTCTGTAAAAATGTCTCAAAGTGGAAAATTAATGCCCAATCTGGACCAAAACAGTACGAAGGTCCTTAACCTTACTGTTCTTCAGAGAATGGATCCTTACATCGAAGAGATCTTGATCACTGCCGCACATGTCACCTTCTACGAATTCAACGTCGAGCTCAACCAATGGGTGCGTTTTTATTCATCATTTTATCAATGGCTTCTATTATGTGTTAATTCGTGTGTGAAACATTGCATTAACAAATGTTGAAAGCCGTAAAGCGAAGTCTGAATCATCAGATTTCTAGTATAACTCAGCTTGCTTGTTAAGTTAGCACTCTTGGTTTTCGATGAACTGATTGCGCGGAAATAAAGGGATCTAGCGTATATTTCTGTAGATTGCAAGTGTGGCCGTTTGGTGCAACAACGTCAATACCAGAGATCAGGATCGAATCTCACGGGCATTATAGAGAGACGAAAATATATACCTTTCATCCTCTAGCTGGATTTCTGAAGATTAGTATGTTTTATAACTGATGAGTAATGACTATGACAAAAAACATATGAGGATCGCTCAACAAAATTCGTGCAGCTGTACCCTGTTAAGACATGAAGCACCAAATAGGAGGCTCCCATCAAAATTTGTGGGTGGATAGATTATAACTTTAATAAGTACACTGATAACAGATAGCCATATCATTAGATACAAATAATCAGCCATGGCTCCAAAGGTCAAAAGTACCAGGAGGTCCCAGGTTCAAATTCAAGGAGGAATAAAAATCCCCTTGCGGCCGGGGTTCAAATGCGGTGACTCCTGGCTATTTGCAAAGCAGGTGGTCGTCCTGGGATTAGTCGGCTCGCATAGCGGGTCGGATATCCAGGTTAATAAAAAAAAAAAATAATCAGCCATGGAGGATCAAGCAAGGAATTATGGTTGGGAGGGGATCGGTTGTGTTGTTAAACTAATGTTAAAAATAAAAAGCAATGTAAGATAAATCTCTAAGAGGTAGTGGTGTGGTAGTGGGTTTTAATGGACTAGGTAGTATGTTCGCCACAGGTTCTCTTGCCATTTGCCAAGGTTAAGTTAATATGGAAAATCCAAAAGTTACGAGCAATTGGATTTTGGGACTGTGAGAATCTCTTGGAATGATGTGGCGGCTGGTAAGTTGAGTTATATGGGGAACTATAGAACATAACAACAGTCATGGGAAGGGAGAAAGTGGCATAGATAACACTGTACTGGAAGTTTGCATGCCACAATTTTGGGAATTAGATTTGCAATAATTCCATCAAGCATGTTAATAATAACTTTTTATTTCAAGATTCTTAAATATATTCATGACACAATGTTAAGCTATATCAATACAGTATATTAGTATTTTGGCTTAGACATCGGACTTGTTTATGCCAATTTCAATCAATTTATTTAATTGCAATGAATTAAATGAAAGCTTCATGGTACTGGTGGGCAAACTAAGGAAGGATGGTTTCTTTTTAATATCTGTGTGGTTTGTTTTAGCTCAAACACATCTTGGATTCTGGATATTAACCAGAGGCCTATATCATATTGCTGTGTTAATCCGTGTTTTACAATAGGGTTCAGACTAGTTGTAAATGTAACAGCAGCTTCTCAGACATATTGTTTCCCAAAGCTGAACAAAAGAGTTGCATATAATACATCGGGAGATGTGAACATACATGTGGTTCGCCTTTTGTCCACCTGAGTTGTTTACTTAATTTTCCTCCCTGGTTTGTGTGTGTTTGCTTATTTAAAAGTGCGACAAAAAATCTGTATCCAGTTTTTATCAAAAACTTTGTATTCATATTTCATTTCGTTCTTATTTTGTGCCGTTCTTGATCTTTCATAATTGTTCTTCAAGGCTACCGAAACCGAAGAGGATGGCTTGATTGTAAATTTTTTGAATATGCACATATAGATCTTGTAAACCTGAACGGGCATTCAGAAGTATATTTTCTATCACATGTAAACAGTTTACAGTTCTTAGTTTAATAGTTCCATTTGTCCCTTTTTCCAGAGTCGCAAGGACGTTGAAGGATCTCTCTTTGTCGTTAAGAGGTAGCACTAAATGCTGAATTTGTTATCTTTTAAGTTATGTTTCTGCATTTCCCTGCCTAAGGGTTCTAAATTTTGTCATCGTAGCCAACAGCAAGAAAATATACTACTAGAGTGCATGATGATAAGTATGAAACTGTTATAATGGCCATATTTGTTGGTTGAAAGAGAAACCAAGTTGTAGACTGATTGACGTCTTGTGGAATCAAAATGGAGCTTATGTATGTACATTTCTTTTTTGCTTTAATTGCAGGAACACCCAGCCACGGTTTCAATTTATAGTAATGAATCGGCGAAATACAGGCACACTTTCTGTCATTTATTATCTTGTGGGTTTCTGTTTTTACTGGATGACAGTGTCGGATAGTCTCTTTATGAGGTTCTTATGTGTTTCTCTATGGATGAAAGCGGAATCTGGTTCTTTAGGAATATTAGATGTTTATGCAACTATAATTCTCTTGGAATTTGCACTTCCAGTTTTCAGGTCACAGTTAAGAAATAGGTTGTTTGCATATGCTATGGTTACTATATGTCATATAAATAAAAATGTGAAGGATCAGCATAGGAAGTGATTGAACGAAAAATCTTGTATATGACTGGAAATCTGAAATAATCTTCCAAATCAAACAGACTGCTGAATGTTCTGATGATAATCTATCTGTTAAAACTCTGAGACTGTTGATGATTGGTCTGTCAGTTGTTCTATTGGAGATTCGCTGATTAGAAGTTTATTGGAACAGAACAGTCGCTAGCTGATGCTTTGCAGTTTGAATTTATATTTGGATTAGCAATTTGGTTTAGACATTTGACTTATTTATTAATTATAACAGAAAATCTTGTGGAGAATCTCTTGGGAGATTTTGAGTTTGAACTTCAAGTTCCATATTTGTTATACCGGAATGCTTCCCAAGAAGTTAACGGTATTTGGTTCTACAATTCACGTGAATCTGAGGATGTTGCAAATCTGTTTACCAGGTACTTATTTTTATTCTCTTTTCTCTGTGTGACTCTGCATCTCTTTTTGGTGGTAATTACACAATACATAGATGGTGTCTATTACTTATGTGGACTACAAGGAACTTGCAATCCTGTATAACCATCGAAGGCTGTTGAAGTGACTAATTCCTGGAAATTGGGAAGGTGTCTGCCAACAATTAGACACTTGAACATATAAAATCTCAGGTGTAAATTTTGTTTATTTATTAATAGATGTAATTCCATTGCTACTTGATATTTGAAGTATGTCTGCCAATGTGATAATAAATTCTTGTAAGTTGCTTTGGTGCTTCTTATTATTGAATTTAGGTGTTAGGAACTGAAAAGTTATGCTTCTATGTTACAATTCGGCTGGCATAACTAATTCACCCTCAAATTCTCTGTCCAGGATACTCGGTGCATATTCAAAGGTTCCCCCGAATTCCAAAGTGAACAAAAGGTAGGCGGCATTACATTATGGTATGCATGCCTCATTCACTCTGTGTTTATGTTTGTTATGGTTGCCATTCTCTTGCTATTTATTGGATATGGAACTCATGCAGCAGCTGAAGAGAAGAATATCTGATATTCCATCACAGGACTAACTATGGTGATTCATTATGAATTGTACACATATTTTTGTTCTATGAAGTAATAAACTCTTACATGATATGAACTATCTAAATTTTCCTGGGTTCTTTTAGACAGGTGAAGGATTAGCAGCCATCTTGTTCCTTTATCTGTATGTTTTCTGATCCAGGATAAGCAGCTAAGAGCTTGTTAGTCTAGCTAGAAGTGTATGAAGGGACTGGAGTGCCTGGCAAAACTAGTCTTTCCATTAACAGCTAACAATCTTACCCTTCACTAATCAAGGGACCTGTGGCTTGACTACTTAGTTATCGAAGGAGATTCTTCTTTCTGGTCTATATCCAATTTTGAAGAAGTGTTGGAGGTTCTTTATGAAATAGAAAGGAGTCGTATTTTCAATCATTGTTGGGTTATCTTAATTCTTAAGGAGGTTGCCTTCCTTCTTTCAAGGTTGCCATATTAGATGAATAGATTTACAACTTGGATAAGCTTTTTTATGTCAAAAGCCCCAAAAGAGCTCCTTAGCCAATCAAAAGAGATAAAGTCTTTCAATTATCTAAATCTGCAGCTGGAAACCATCTCGTGTATGCAACAAGGAAGGTGCTTAAGGAAGAAGCTTACTAGCTGCTTAGAGTACTTCAATAGCATAGGAGTCAACAGGGTTTCATCTAGGCTAAGGGGACTCGGCCCTTATGGGGCCATACCTTAAGGCAACAAATTCCTTTTTGATGGATTCCACCAAAGTTGGAATCAGATTCAATTTAATCCACCAAAAATCTGATAAGAGCAAGGAACTTATCACATATATGAGAAGAAGGGCAAAGAAGTAAATTCAGAAAGGGGTTGTTGAGTGCGCCTGAAGGATGTTGGTGGAAATTTGTTATGGAGGAGCGTGTCAGGGAAGTATGGAAAGGGCTTTAGTGGACTGGAGTTAGACATTCAGATTCATTTGTTACTTTCTCGATTCTTCTAATTGAGTAAGAGAGGTCCGGTCTCTCGGATACTGGAATATTCTTCAATAAACTTCAATTTGATTTCAATCTTTATCAAATTGGTATCGGAGCGAGGTCAAATTGCATCCAATGAATAGTCGCTCATGACGCCTTAGTTCAATCAAGAATAGATGAACCCGATGTGGAAATCTCAACAATTAAAGAAAACATACAAAAGATGATGCAGCAGATGGAATCGATGTGAAAATGCAAGTGGAAACCCTAAGAAGAACAAATTCGACAGGAGAAGGAAGAGGATTCGGCGGTTCTGGTCCAAGAAACACGATAGGGAGGGGAGGTCGTTATCAGGAATTGAGTCATTTTTAGCTATTCGACAAAGGAAAGTATGGATAATGAGGGCATAAAGGTATTTCGCTCTAAATCAACTCACAAACAAAGAGAAGCTGGAGATTTCGATTATTTCTTTTGAAGGAGATGCGTTGATGTGATTTCAATTAAGAAATAAGAGGAGACTGATTTTGAATTGGGAGGAATTAAATAGGCTGCTGATTCACCAATTTCGACTAGCAGGTGGAGGATCTTTATGTGAAAAATATATTGCTGTAAAACAAGAAGGTACAATAGCTGATTTTACTGAAAACAATTTGTGTCTTTAGCGGCCCCATTAGATGGAATTCCGAGAGGAAATTTTTGTGAGTCAATTCTTGAATGAGTTGAGTCCACAGATTCATGCAGAAGTTCATTTACTAGCACCGGTGGGATTAGGGAAGGCGATGGAGTTGGCTCAAGTAGTGGAGGAAAAGAACAAGATTATGGCTCATACAAGCGGTTTCAGGTTGAGTTGGGGGAATAAGAGGGCAACTGAAGGGTCAGGGAATGATAAGAGCTCTGCCAATATGAACAAGAGCAACAACCTTGTGCTGAAAGTTACAGGGGAATTCAGAAAACTCTCAGATCAAGAATTACAACAACAATGAAATCAAGGTTTATGCTACGGATGCGATGAAAAATATTCTCTAGGTTACCATTGTAAAAAGAAAGAGGTGAACGTGATTGTAGTGCGAGAAACAGTGGGGTTTGACATGGAGGAAGACAATGAGCAGAAACCCTTAATCGAATTAGCAGGGATCGAGACTGAAAAAGATGTGGAAGTCTCTTTGAAATCTTTAGTCGGTTTGTCAACACCAAAAACAATGAAGTTGAAAGGGGAAATAGCGGACGGAAGGCAGTTGTCTTGATTGATAGTGGGGCTTCCCATAACTTTGTTGCAACAGTATTAGTGGAAAAACTTGGATCAACCACAAGAATCACGGGGAAGTATGACAAATCGATGGGGGTAGGGGAATCAATTAAAGGCCAAGGCGTTTGTAAAAAGATAAAACTGAAGTTACAAGGAATAGAGATAGTGGAAGATGTTTTGTCCATTAATTTGGGAAATTCAGATGTGATTCTCGGAGTGAAGCGACTAGCTTCTTTGGGACCAACTTGGGTCAATTGGCAATCTCAAACGATTAAGTTCCAAAAAGCTGAGAAATCTTTAATGTTGAAAGGGATCCATCATCTGGTAGGTCCTTGGTATCATTGAAAGCCATGATGAAAACACTAAGGAACGAGGGCCAAGGGGTGTTGATTGAGCTGGCAAATGTCGAGACAGGTTGTGGTGATGCCGAAACACCTGTCGAGATAGCAGTTAGTGTGGAGAAATTTAGGAATGTCTTCTGTATGCCAGAGGGACTACCACCGAGTTGGAGCAGAGAACATGGGATCATCCTCCAAGGCACGGAACGTGTTAATGTGCGACCGTCGGTACCTGCAGTATCAAAAAGACGAGATTGAGGGGCTAATTTAAGAAATGTTGGCTGCTGGGGTGATTCAGTATAGTCAAAGTCCTTACTCGAGCCCGATGTTACTAGTTAAAAAAGACGGAAGTTGGAGATCTTGTATCTATTGCCGGGCCTTGAACGGGAATACAGTTCCTGAAAAATTCACAATCCCAATCATAGAAGAGTTGTTAGATGAGTTACATGGAGCCTCATATTTTTCGGAGTTGGATATCACCAGATTCTAATGAAACAAGAAGATGTTCACAAGACAGCATTTAGAACTCACGAAGATCACTATGAGTTCTTGATTATACCTTTCGGCTTAACTAATGCCCCAACCACTTTCCAGGCCTTAATGAATGACATTTTCAGGGCCTTCCTATGGAAGTTCATCATAGTATTTTTTGATGATATTTTGGTGTACAACAAAGATATTCAGGAGCATGTGAAATATTTGAGGATGGTGTTCGAGGTATTGTCTCGAAACAGATTTTAAAAAGCAATTTGTGATCAAAACCGATGCTTGTGGTCAAGGGGTAGGGGCGGTAATAATGCAAGAAGAGTAACCCAATGTTTACTATAGCCAAGTTTTGGGTTAGATTGCAACGCAGAAACACATATATGAAAAGGAGTTGATGGTCATTGTATTGGTGGTGATTAAATGGAGGCCTTACTTAATTGGAAGGAAGTTTATAGTTAAGACCGACCAACAAAGTTTAAAGTTCCTTTTAGAGCAACGTTTGGTGGAACCTCAATATCGAAAGTGGTTGACTAAATTGTTGGCTACGAATTTGATATCATGTACAAGGTAGGAAAACCCAATATGGCCGCAGATGTGCTCTCGCCTAGAGATGTAGAGTTGTCGGCTATTGGTGGACCTTAGTGGTGACAATGGGAGTACATTAAAGAGGAGACCATGAAAGATGAATTTTTGAGTAAAATAATGGCAGATGTGCGAAGCCAAGCAGATTTGCACAAGGGGTTTGAAGTGAGGCAAGATCTTCTCTGGAATAAAGGCAGATTGGTGTTCTCCAGATCGTCCAAAGTAAGCCCAAGTGTTTTGAAGGAGTTTCATGCATCACCAATGGGGGGACATTTTGGAGAAGGACGTATCAACAATTATTGGGGGAGCTATTTTGGATAGGAATGAAGGGGGATGTCGAAAAATGGATAAGGAACTGTGAAGTTTGTCAAAGAAACAAAAATTTAAGTGGAACACCAGCGGGGCTGTTGCAACCAATGCCTCTTACCCCTGTTGGTATGGGCAGAAGTGACGCTGAATTTCATTGAAGGTCTTCCAAAGTCGGAAAACATGGACTTAATCTTGGTAGTGGTAGACTGGTTGAGCAACTATGCCCATTTTATACCTTTAAAGCATCCATTTACAGCAACAAGGGTGATTGAAATATTCATAAAGGAGATCGTGAAGTTACATGGCATTCCGGAGTCAATCATTAGAGACCGGGATAAAGTGTTCCTCAGTAGTTTTTGGAAATAAATATTCAAGTTACAAGGAACCGAGCTGAAGTTTACTACAACATACCATCCACAATCAGATGGTCAGACAAAAGTAGTTAATCGCAGCATTGAACAATACTTGAGATGCTTTACATCGGATAAACCACGACAGTGGAAACGGTGGTTGGCCTGGGCTGAATACTGGTACAGAACTACGTACCATAGTTCCATCCGTTGCTTACCCTTTAAGGCGTTGTATGGATGTGATGCTCCTACTGTTTTACGGGTTAAAGAAGGGTCCACGATGCTGCCATCAGTGGAGCAAATGTTAAAAGAGCGAGATGATGCCTTGGATGTGATGAGGTTGTTTTTGATGGCAGCCCAGCACAAGATGAAATTACAAGCCGATGGGCATCAAAAGGAAGTATCATTCGAGGAAGGGGATATGGTCTTCTTAAAGCTTTGACCGTACAGACAGAGATCATTAAGGGGCACTAATAATCAGAAGTTGTTGGCGAGATTTTACGGTCCTTTCAAAATAATAGGCCGTGTGGGAAGTGTAGCTTAGCGGTTGGAATTGTCAGCAACTACTCGTTTACACCCAATGTTCCATGTCACAATTAAGGAGGGAAGTGGGGCCTTGTGCATCATCCAACACAACAAGCTCAGTTAACAGAAGACATGGAGTTGGTGGTCGAACATGAAGAAGTGCTACAACTACGGAAGACCAAAGCAGATGTTCTGGAAGTGTTGATTAAATGGAGAAATCTGCCAGTATTTGAGGCTTCATGGGAAGAGTCAGAGGTGATACAAAAGCAGTTTCTAGAGTTCCATCTTGAGGACAAGATGAATGAATTTCCGGGGGATATTGATAAGAGCAAGGAACTTATCACATATGTGAGAAGAAGGGCAAAGAAGTAAATTCAGAATGGGGTTGTTGAGTGCGCCTGAAAGATATTGGTGGAAAGTTGCTATGGAGGAGCGTGTCAGGGAAGTATAAAGGGCTTTAGTAGATTGGAGTTAGGCATTCAGATCCATTTGTTACTTTCTCGATTCTTGTAATTGAGTAGGAGAGGTCCAGTCTCTTAAATACTGGAATATTCTTCAATAAACTTCAATTTGATTTCAATCTTCATCAAAATCTTAAATGACCTCATCCAAATTGCTTTCCTACCCTAGATAAAAGGTTAGGACTCTGCTATGCGGGTATCAAGGTTTATAGAGTTTGACACTCCTGGTGCTGGCAAGTGGCAAATCATTGGGAGCCAGCTTGTGAAGTCTCGAGAATTTGAGAAAAGAAGCTACTTTTCATGTTTTTAGCCAACAGCATTCCTGCTTTTTATGCCGCCCTTACTTCATCGAGAAGTTAAAAGGTCAATCCTGCAGGCAAAGAGAGACTCCAATATGCATTTAAATGTTGATGAGTCAAGCATGAGAACACGGACCGAGAATCCCCAGCCACCAAATTTTTTACTTCAGCACCTTGTGACAATCAGTGTCCTTAGAAATTGTAGATCAAACTAGCTAAGATTGAGGATTCACAAAAATAGGTATTAGCATTGTAGACCATAAATATCAGTCAGAGGCAGAATTGAATACCGAGATTTAATCAAATAAGCCGAACATGGCTCACTAAGCCACAGCGTTGGATGCTTCAAGCCATGCTTCTTTGTCGAGCTGGCTCCATATCAAAGTCAAGTGAAGCTTAATTACAGCTCACATTTCTATTATTAGGGATCCCTGTTGCTTGGTGGACTGGTATACTGGCATAATGCTACCATCTTTTATTTTCTATTTGGGCTTTTGTAGTGTTCAGTGAAATATGAAATAGGAAAGAGGAACGTAATTTGAATATATGAAACTAGTGGAGCTATTTACTAATAGTCTAATGCTGGGCGTGCCTCATCTTTTTGCTGATTGAAATGGGATGTTACTTGCCGGAAATCTCTTTTGGGGTTGCTTTTTCTTCACAGGTAGCACATGAGATCTAGAATTATGGGGAACAGAGTAAATAAGCACTTGGTTCACTTTCTTTTACAACTGTTACCTTCAATACCCAAAACGAGCCGTGATACTCATTCCTATTGAGCACCTTCTGTCATTGTATCTTGGTACTTGATTTGAGATATGTGGTCCGCTCTTCATAGACAAATTTGGGATTTGTGATCAAGGCTCTCCTTATTCTGCAGGAGTGTCGAGTTGATCTCTTTCCCCTCCCCTCCCTTCCTCCCCTACTTGGTTTATTTTTTGACTTTGAAGATGGAAAAAAATAGAATTCCTGAAAGTCGGGTAAGAAAGGAAATCCTGCAAAATTAACAATTACTATCAATCACTTTCATAGAATTTGTGGACTACTTGCGCTAAAAGTGGCAGATGCTTTGGTTATTCTAAAAAAAATAATCAATCACGTGGGAAAGAGTGTAATGTTAGGAATTCATTTGTGGAGTTATGATTTCGTCTTGTCATTTTAGCTTATAGTACTTTACATCTGGGTTTATATTAACTTGGTTGATCTTGATTTGACTACAAGTGTAATGATTTTCACTACAAATATTGCATACCTGATTCCATCCATCTCCATTTTCTAATATTTCATTTATGTTATGTCGTAGTGAGTTTGAGGAACTTGAAGCTGTACCTACCTCTGCCGTAACTGAGCCGCCATTTACTACCCCCAGTTCTATAGATGTACCTGATGACTCTTCATTTGTGAACTTCTTCAGTGTATGTATCCATCAATGTTGATCTGAATTTTCTTCTACTGCACTTGCACTAGATTGACTATTGATTGCTGTAGCTGATTAGAACTTGTGGTGATATGCTCTTAGACACTCGGTGAGTGTTGGAATGCTCAAAGATGCTTTCTTTTAGGTTGTCTCTTTTTGTTGCTTGGAATGGCCAATTTGAAGATGCTTTTAGATGGAAAGGTGCAATTAGACATTTGATCTTGATCTTTCTTTATAATTAAGGATTATCCTAGGTAACTAATATGGTCAAAAAGCAGTCATTTGTGCTTAAGTCTATATGGTGGCAATGTGCTTTAGTTTATACTGTTATCTTCTTTGGGGGTGGGTTTGGGTCTTGGAGGATCATTTATCCTTGTTATTTTTCTTTTCCATTTGAATTGTTCCAGTTTATTTGGTGGCACTGTATTTTGGCCTGTAAATGTACAGTCACATGTATCGCAGATCTCCACACTAACACCATGAAAACAGAACCAAAATACAAAAAGAATCTGCAGTGTTCATGATTGATGGTAAATACCTTTTAGAAAGGAAGGTTTTGTGGACTTCCCTTGTCTCTAAAGCTGTTAAATGAGAAGGGAATATTGTCTCTACCTCACATAGTGACACAACTGGACTTAGAAACTTGTACCCTGTGACAACCATGACTGAAGAACCGATTGCGTCTGAATAAATTTCCATTGTTTTAATTATTGCACATTATGTAGCTGTTGCATCATAGGTAGTTGAACATGAGACCTGTAATCTACATGCATGATTCCGTATATTAATTAGGAGCTAAATGCCTTTTTACTTGATCCACATGAGCATTAGACTGCTTACGGGATTGTTTAAATATTGTTGTTTCTTTTACATATGTAGATGCTCAGCTTCAGCTCATGTTTGTTGTTTTAAATTTTGGATAGACTTTGGGTGCTCATTTTGACCTGGTTTGATACATGTTGCATAAGCACTAGACAACAAACTTGTTATATGAAGTCTTTTTGGAGGATTTTCTTGTCAAAGGTTTATGTTTTGTGGTAAGCATGACTCAGACTGATCTCTGTGAATTAAATTTTTATCACTGCAGAGCGCTATAAACTTGGGACATACTTCTTCCATACCGTTCAGTTCTGTAAAGCCTTACCATAATTCTACAATGGCTTCTCCTGCTACACCTTCTCCTTTGCTTAATGGTCCAACAATGCAAATCCCGTCACTTGCTCCATCCACCCCTGCAATGCCTCTCCGTGTGGATCCTGAGTCGGTGAATAGCAGCAATCTTGTCACCAATCTTTTCAAGCCCCTTTCCTTTTTTACGCCCTCTTCATCCTTATCTCCAACGATGCCACAACCTATTTCGTCTATACCAGTTACTGCCCTTCAGCCTCCTTTAAATATACAACGCAGCCATGGGGTTCCATTACTTCAACCATTCCCCCCACCAACACCACCCCTATCTCTTACTCCTAATTCTACTTCCCCTCCAAATTATGGACCGCTAGGCAGAGAAAAAGTCAGAGATGCACTCATGCTGCTTGCCCAGGTAACATTTATTTTATTTTCGACTCCTTGGTTTTCTATAAGCTATGTTTTGACAATATTTGATGTCTGCTTTCCTGCAAAACCCTTAGTTACCATGGCTATTTCTTTTATGTAATTCTGTAGAACAATATGATTGTCATTATGAGCATCGGTTTCCACCTATTGTGGAACCTTTTGTTTGTAGTGCGGCAAATATGAATTTACTCTGATGCTCATCATTTTGTCACTGTACAATAACTATCCTGCAGTAACATGTCACAGATCTTTATGCTAATGACCATGCAAATTCTGTCTGTTGAGTGGTGATTCAGGTGAATTGTTATATAGATTTTGTAACCATTGTGATTGGCTTTAGGTTTTAAGCAAAATCGTGGTAGATGTAGGTATCCCAAAAAGGAAAAAAATCACAATACTTGGAAACTTGGACATGTATAACCATTGAACTTGGCTTTATCTTTCAAAAAACCATAGTTATTGCAGAAATTGCGCAAAAGAAGTTTTAGTTTTTCCAGGATAGTGTTTTCTGGGTGAATATTGCGACTACAGTGATATTTTAGAAAGCTAAAGCCAAGTACCATGGTTACAAATATTAATCGTCGATAGAATTCTGGCATGAGCATTTCAAAACTGGGGAATTCTTCATATACTATTATATATATAGGAAAGGATGAATGGGAATTAGAAAGAGTTCATTTAGGAATCGTAAATATTTTGAGAACAGTAAATATTCATGATGACTATACCTAAATATTCATGAATATTATTCATCATGAATATCTTGCATATTCATTATTCATGATATTCATCATGATTAATTCATGAATAATTGGTTCTCAAATATATACTAGCTCAAATGTACCTTCTGTAATTTTTGTATGCTTATCCCCTCTTCAAGATCTAATTGTTTTGTGCCTGTCTTTTGGCCCCCTCCCATGGAAAGAAAACTCACATCTCTCATCACCACATCATTGTTGTATCTTATGGTTTCCATAAATGGAAAGAAAAAGGTATTTCAAGTTTTCGCAAAGACTTAAGCGAGTAAAAGGGTAATACCATATCCATCCTAAAAGTACTTTTGAGTGTCAAAAAGTTACAAAATATATATCTTTCTTGTGCTAAATGCTGATATGTACATGTAAGTATATACAGAAACATATTAAATTTTGGAGATGATAAAAATTAAATAAACCTGTTGCAGATTTGAATTAGAAAAGCATTAGGAAAGAACCTTGTTTGATTAATTATTGTTAATAACTCTTGGTTTTGTTTCTATTTATGCCCAGGATAATCAATTCATTGACATGTTGTACCAAGCTCTGCTGAAAGCAAATCAAAAATCATGACTAGTTTCAAGAAACTGTTGAAAAATTCATTTGTATGAAGTTCACTTTGCATATATAATTGGCGTTTCGTCATCAGAAGCATTGCTGCTGTCATTGCCTACCACACGATCAATGATCGATATAATCTTTGACTGGTGCTACAGGAAATTGGTATTAGTGAAGTCTGGTGGTTGTTATGGAGTTATGTAAGTTGGGTGTGAACCCTTTTGATGTATTTTGTATGCAATAGTGGTTACATATGTAGTTTGCGTACCTCTTACCCTCTAACCAAACGACAAATTTATGAACAAAAGGAGTTGATGCTAATATAGTGCTTTTGCTACTTATTGTATTTAGTAACAAATTACTTTTAGCCGTCTGTATTTTGAGGATAGGAAAAAAAATTAGTCATTGTTTGCTCGTTCATCGCTTAATTCAGGACACTTGGTTAACAACCATTTAACCAAGTTCTTTACTTGGTTAAAACATACTTAAATTGTTGATGAACAGCCCATTAGAAAATATGATTTGTGTTGAATATGATCGTTTATGGTCAATTTGACCTTAAAAACCCTACTAAATCTAAAAGAGAGATTCAAGCCAGGAGGAATAAAAATCCACTTATGGTCATGAAGATTCAAATGTAATGACTCTGGGCTATCTGCAAAGCATGTGATCGTATTGAGTTTAGTCGGTTCGTATAGCAGGTTGGATATCTAGGTTAATGAAAAAAAAGAACGATTGTTATTTTTTTCTTTTCTATTTTCCCAACTATTGACCAAGAAAAAACAGAGTTAAATTCTCTAGTAGAGACTAGAGACTAGAGAAAGACCAAACTGAATAGAAAAACTCATATGTTGGTCTTTTATGGAAATAACAATAAGCTATGGACTAAATAAACAAATTCACATAAGCTCAGGGACTTAACTTGTAATTTCCCATTATATCGTTGTGAGTTAACTCCCCTGTTCGGTACTCCCCACTGGAAGCCCTAAACAAACACCCTTCTGCTCAGGAACGCACTCAATACGACACATCCTACAGCTATGGCGGCATGTAGAAGGATACCAAAGACGATTTTCAGCAATTTCTTATCACGATCAAGTACAGGATATCCATCGCCTTTTTCGTTTGGACCGCCATCTACTCTCATTTCACGAAGGGGCATAGCTTCCAAACTTTACATTGCAGGTTTGAATGTTTTATTCTGTTGCTTGTTTGATAATTTGTTACGTTCTCTTACGAGCGATCGTTTTTTTATTTGTCGATTTTGGACTATAGAATTAGCTAGAAAACTGCGCATGCGCACATACGCGTATGTGATGATGTTATATGCTCCGTTCTGTAGTTAAAATCTACTTTTGAGTTTTGAATTATCATATTTGATGCTGTTCCAAATTGAAATTGCTGTTCCTAGATTTTTCTAGCTCGAAGATCATTATGTTAATAACTTTCTACAGTTTAATGTACTCGCTAGACGGGTACAGAGTTCAATGAAAGGATTTGCCTACCGGTCAAATATCTGAAATTATCATGACTAGATAGAGAACTCTGGTGGTTAAAACGTTGTGTTAGTAAATACTGTAATGATCACTGACAGCGTAATCTGTTAATTTCAGATTATAACTTTGGAAATATTTGCATTTAATTGGGCAATCCAAAGATGAAATTGTTCCATTTATTTGGAGACGGGGTGAGTACCAATCAGAATTTTAACCCGGATGGTTCTATTTAACTTTGAAGTTACAGTGTGGAATTTTTAGGTACAGAGGTAGTGATGTAGCATCTTGAATTGGTCTATAATTTAGGGAATACAACAGTATGGCCACTCAAACAAGCATTTCATCTCTTGTACTTCTTCTAGAAGCCTTCATAGAAATCTGTTTTTGAGCAACTGTTGTGCTTTTATACAGAACTCTGGCTAGTCTTACGAAGTTACCTGTAAATATTGCAAAAAGGGACTTAATGAAACAACATTCTTAGTTGATGACAATTAAAATTTCCCAGACATTGTTTCTGTAGATGATATATATATATATATATATATATGTATGTATGTATGTATATCAAATACACAACCTCAAATATATATGTATGTATGTTGAGATAACCTATTGCTCATAGTGTAGTGATGAATAGTCATGCTTGTGTTAGAGTTATAAGTTATTGATTCCCGAACCATCATACTTGGCCTTTTGTAAATGCAAAAAAAACACTATGCAAGACACATGCAATTTTTGATAAATTCTGAAAATGTAATTGCAAGAAGAACCATAGCACTGGGTACGTTTTGTCCAAAATTATCCATTTTGTGAAGTGTAAAGCATTTTCGTTGGAAAAATGAATTGTTTGCAACAAAGCTAAACACGGTTTAAGATATGTTGATAATTCTGTGTTCATAAAAACTTGCATGGATTTTTCGTACTCCAACCTAGTCAAAACATTCAAATCTTGAGTTTAGTGGCACAAATGCTGGAGGTTGTCTTTGGCTCTTTTCTCTCTTGAAGTCTTGTTATGCATTCTACTGGCATTGAATTTCTGGCAGCAGGAAGTTTACTATTCATCTTGTATTTACATTGCAGGACTGTCATTTTATACCACAGAAAAAGCATTACTAGATGCTTTTTCTCAATATGGCCAAGTTGTCGAAGGTACCTTATACATTTCATGTATATGCACAGTTATGTAACTTCAGTCAATAATTAAGTTAAAGTATTGCAATTTGCAGCCACTGTTATGATGGATGAAGTTTCGAGCAGATCGAAAGGCTTTGGGTTCGTTACCTATGCATCTGGAGATGAAGCTGAGAAAGCCATCAATGAAATGAACGGAAAGGTTCCATCCTAAATCCATCTTCTAAATCTAGAAATTAATACAAGTTTTCCTTTTTAGCCCATTCCAGTTTAAGTGACTCCAAAGTCCAAATATTGTGTAGGCATAATACTTCCATCTGCACCATACACATGGCAACATTTGACTGGACATGTAGTAAAAAGTCTATTTCTATAATGTTTAAAATACTATTGAATAATAATAAAATTCAACAAATCTTATGGATTCAAATCAATATCATTAATTTTCATGAAATGATTACAAACAAGTAATTGTAGCTTAAAATTACAATTTAGGTTACACGGGGCTTCTATCTTTAGAGACTTTATAAGATACCCCTTGCCCCTCCTGGTGTACACGTGGAAATTTTTATTTAGGAGAGTAGATCTATGTGAACCATTAGATTTGGCACCAAGCATACAACTTTGATATGATCACGTTTTCATACTATACATGGTGAGTTTGATGGTTGCTATAGATAGTTGCCCTTTATTTACACTTGAGATAGAAATATCTTCTTTTGCCAAAAAAACGGGAATCTTAATGAATTGGATCTCCAAGAGATCCATTACGGTGCCGTTTGGTATGCGGGACAGAACTGAACAAAAACTTGTTGTCCCATGTTTGGCACGACATTGAATTTGGATAGGATGAAACTGAGTGCATTTTTTGTCCCACCGAAATAGGTGGAACAAAAATCAGGTCGAGAAGACAAAACTGGTAAATTACTAAACTACTCATGTCAAATTAAACATAAGTATCTATTGTCATGCATGGGGTAATTCTGATATCAGAATATGCACATTTAGTAGGAAACTGATATAGATGGTTGGTTGCAGCCACTGCATGGACGTATCATATGCGTTGAATTGGCGAAACCGCGAAGATCAAAAGGTAGTGGTGTGCCAATAGCTAGAGGACCCCCTGAACCACCTAAGGAGCAGCAGTAAGCACTTGTACATTCATCGGTATCCAGGGTCAAAGGTACAAGTAATCACAGCAGTGGGTAATCTCATCTCCTTTAAGGGGGCACCAATACTAATACTAGTAGCAGAAGCAAAAACATTTATCATTTATGCAAGAGAAGTATGTCAAATTTGATGCATTTCTATTTTACTTCTTTTCGTTTGTTTCACTTGGATTTTAACGTTAAAATATAGGGTTTGATTGTTTGTGTCGATATAATGCACTCGTGCTTCAGCGATTTCAAATCACATCCTCAATGAGCAATTTGTGTACATGCATTTATTGTCATTTGACCAAAAGGGCCATCGTCCCGGGGATACTTGGATTATGAGGAGTGTGTGTAAGTATTTTGTTGGATATAAATATTATATATTTGAAATAAAAAACTATTGTCGTTTAAAACAGACGCCACCTAATTGTATGAAGAATATTGTTGTGTTTTTAGTAATCTGAAAATTACCATTAATCTCTTGTTACAAGATGTTGTGAAAGATAACAAGTTCAAAGAAAGTTAAAGTTTAGTGTGCATATAAGATTATTACTGAAATTGAGTTTTTAGAATAAGGTGTGAAGGATAGAATTATAGAAACCCCCAAAATCTAGGCATTGCTAAATATAATAAAACTAGCGGAAATCTAAAATGATGTCTTTAACACTTACAGGTCGTCTACTTACGTTTATTTAGCAAGTGTTTATCGAGTCATTTATCTTACCATGTGAATATGGTAAATACCGAAAATCTTACCTGGTGAAAACGATGACAAGGACCAAGAATCTTACTGAGTAAGTGAGAGTGACGAATCTTACCGAGTAAATTGAAATAAGGCTTGAAAGTGTGATGATTAGCCATGAGCTTTTTTCTTTTTTCTGATGTTATAAATGTTTAAACTTTACACAATTTTTTTAGAATCTTTCATATTTGGCATCTCATAAATGAATCAACAAATTCCTCAATTTAATTGATTCATATTAATACCAGGTTTCTCATATTCAACCCTTTACTTAATATTGCTATGTTTTCATTAACATCAAATGGACAATGTTATATCACGTGACTATAAAACTATATGATTTATTACATACATTATTTTTTATAATCATTTTAGTAGGATTAAATCAATATTTTATAGTTAGGCCACAATACATAAAATAACAATCCGCGTAGGTTGTCCATATATACTATAGTGATGTGACTTTCTTATTACATCATTGTAATTTCAAAATTATTTTATTATAGCATCTACTAATTCTTATTAAACAATATACTTTTAATTTTAATATTTAGATATTTTACATGTTATTTAATAAATCTATTATATGAATTAAAAAAATGTATAAATATATACTATAGTGATGTTACTTTCTTATTACATCTTGATGTATAAATATATTAAATTAATTAGATTTTTGAATTATTTATTAATATAATAATATTAAAAAATTGTAGATCACAATTTATTTCGTTAACATTTTAGAGAAAACTTTAAAAGATATGTATATTTTTAAACAACATAAAATAAGAAGTGTTATCTTTTTTTACAAACAAAATATATCTCGAAAATAATGTATCATATTTATTTAAAAAATATTTTACTCTAGAATATTTAATTTGCATGCAACTTAATAAGAAAAAGTAAAAAAAAAATCAAATATTTTTTAGATCATAGCAATAAAAAATGAAAATTACTAATAATAATTTGAAATAAGTTTTATTTTTATTTTAGTTAAGTCATCAAAATGATGTGTAATCCACATTACCTCATTAAGGCCACACAAGCAAAAAAAGTCATGGGTTAACCGGTTTAAAAGGTAACAAGTTAACCATTGTTATAATAGATAGATTTTAAAAGTACGATGCCTTAATAAAAAATAATTTGAAAGTACATTGTTGTAATAAAAAAACAAAAGTAGAATGCTATAATAATTTTTTTTATAAAAATAGGTTGCTATTTCATACATTTAACCCTATATAAGTTCACAAGTAATTCAATTATTCCTTTTGAATTTAAATAACTGCTAGCCATCCGATAAATCTATGATTAAACCGTTGAATAAATTACTAATTATGTTAAAAAAAGAATTTAAAAAGTAAAAAATCCTACTTAAACTAGAGATGGACATGTAAATGCATCACTTCTTATCCAAGTAATTTGTTTAATTTAATTTTTGCAAAAAAAATAAATCTATACTATATTATAAAACATCTGGTAAAAACTCTTAAAAACCATTTTTATGCGTAAAATACTGTTTATTAATGCATATTACTTAAAACTTAAGATTGCAAGTAGATTGTTCATAAGTACAACTTATTAAAGCTCCATATCTGTATTCGTGTAACTAATTAACTGCAGATAAACATAATCATATATAAGATAAACATCTCATTTTATATATATAAAATCTAAAATATAATTAGAATAATCATTGAGTCTAATAGAATTCTTAACTATTATCTTTATAAAATTTATAATATTCAACCAAAAATAAATTATTTCATTATTAAACTTAAAATAAATAATAATAAAAAAATAAATTAAAGAAATTACATAAAAATTGAGAACTTTTAAATAGTTGATTTGATATTAACATTGATATATATTTTTTTTTAAATTTATATTATTCAAAAATAAAATCATTATTTTTTTAAAAACACATAAAAACGTAATATAACATCGACAGAGACAAAAAAATAAAATAATACATTAAAAATCGAGATGGATCTCGCTACATTGCGCAAAAACCGTTCTAGTTATGTTCAAAAAAGAATTTAAAAAGTAAAAAATCCTACTTAAACTAGAGATGCACATGTAAATGCATCGATTTGTTTAATTTAAATTTTGCAAAAAAAAATCAAATGAATAGAAAGCATGGGAACGGGTTGTGAAAGGAAAATTAGCATTTGAATGGAAACCCACATCGGTATCGAAAGTAAACAGAAAGAGAGGGAGAGTGGAATAAAAAGGGAAAGAGGCAAACGAGAAAAGATACTTACCTGGATGGGGTCAATGGGTGATCAAGAAAGCCCATGGCCTAGGCTAGTGACCTCCATTGCACATAGGAGGGGTGCTATCCTAAGGTCGGCCCAAGTGGTCGAGCCTACATCATAATTTGTGGCAGTGGGGGTCTGTGTTCGCGCGGCCCCTACATAAATCTTGGAAGTTTTTAAGTATTTGAAATCTGATTACTAAATGCTTATCCCGATAAACATGGCAAGAGAGTTAAGAATTTTATTTGGTAAGAGCAATGATAAAGATGAAGATTTTTATCCGGTGAGTAAGGGTGACGATTCGTAGTTGGGTAAGCGTTTACCAGGTAAATTGTTGTATATGATACGTTTTGATGTACTACAATCTTACCCATAAAATAAATTATAGTGTTCACTTTTTTACGTTAAGCACTTACCGGGTAAGTATTTAGATAAACAGATGCCAATTTTTTGTTACTTGTTCTTTGTTTGTTCCCTTTTTGTCTCAATAAAATTGCTGCCTTTAAAAAAACAGAAGTAATAGATAATGAGTATATATATGCAACATACATATGAATGACAAATTATTTTGAACCCAACTATAACACAGTTTATATATGTAAATTAATGTACTTTCGCTTTATATTCTAATTCTATGATTTAAAAAACACAAAAAAACATGCGGCGACGGCACCTAGCACAACGTCAGGGGCGCCCCCGTTACAAAGAATTATCGGTTAGTTATTGAAAGATAATGTACCAATCGTACGTAGTCATCACACTACAGTTAGTTTGATGGTATCGTATGATGAAGGTCACGGATCAAATCTTCGATCTATTGCGTTTTATCTAAAAAAAGAAAGGACAAGAACCATCCTTGGTGCGGACTCGAGCCATCAAGGTGCTTGAGCCGGCTCGGTGTGCCAATGAATCATGGTCGGGCCCCAATAGGAACGAATGGCAAATGATACCTTCATTTTTCATTTTGATCACCATGCTTTGTATCCACTGGACAATAGTTGTGCATAAAGAAGTTCATTCCAAGTGTCGGGCACACCCGGTAGGCACCAGTGGCTACAATCTTGTGGAGCCTTAGCCGGAGTTCCTGGCTCACGGTGTCTCGATGGGTGACCATCTTTCCTCATTGCAGTTAGATACGTGATGTTCAAGAACTGGACTTTATGTTTCGCGGTTTCCATCTCTTTGACCACATTTTCGATGATTTGGTTGTTGACGAGTTCGTTAACTTCGGGCTTCAAATGGTTGGTTTCCGGTGCGTTACTAAGATCACAATGACCACCGGTGTTCCATTCTCCACCCCTGCACCTAATTAACATCTTCTTAGCTTTTCTTATTTCACATCAAGCAATTTGGTTTCAAAGCGGGAATATTTCACTGCAACAACAAAATCGGTTTTATTGAATGTCAAATATGTCCAAACACTACAACAAAAATGGGTTTATAGGACACTCCCAATCTCTAAGCGTCACAATAGACCGCTTTATAGGACCAAAATATAAAGCATCATATCTAAAAGTGTTGTAATAAGTTTATATGACGCTTTTGGACGTCTTAACAAGTTTTTTTAGGACATTTTTAATACAAAATGTCGTATTAGCAATTTTATAGGACACTTTTGAGAAAGTGTCCCATAAACTAATTTTTTATAGGACATTTGTTTTTGTAAGACAGTTTTGCAAATAGTGTGCTATAAAGTTGCTAATGAGACGTTTTATATTAAAAGTGTCCTAAAAAACTTATTACAACGTCAAAAAAATGTCATATAAACTTATTACAACGTCTTTAGATGAGACGCTTTATTTTTTTGGTCCTATAATCTAAGTCTTATAAAGAAGTCTATTAGGACGTTTAGAAATTGGGAGTGTCCTATAAACCCGATTTTGTTGTAGTGAAATTTTACAACAAATTGTTTTATAGGATTCTAAGTTTATAGAATCAAACAATTGTACATCATCCTATATATGTAAATGTGTTACAATAAGTTGATACAATGCATTTGAAACAATGTTTTATTAATTAATACAAATGTCCTGTTAAAAATACGTTCATATAACACTTTTCATAAGTATTTTATAAAAATGCTAATACGAGACCTTATTTCAAAAGCGTCATAGAAAATTTGTCAGGATGTCTAGTTAAATCATCCTATCATAACACGTTTATATATGATGCAGAACTTTTTTTTATCTTGTAAAGCAATCTATTAAGATATTTAAACACTACAACAAAATTGAGTTTATAAGACGCTCTCAATCTCTAAGCGTCCCAATAGACCGTTTTATAAGACTTAATTTATAGGACCAAAATATAAAATGTCCTATCTAAAGGTGTTGTAATAAGTTTATATGACGCTTTTGGACATCTTAACAAGTTTTTTGGGACATTTTTAATACAAAATGTCGTATTAGCAACTTTACAGGACACTTTTGAGAAAGTGTCATATAAACTCAAAATTTAATAGGACATTTGTTTTTATAGGACGATTTTTCAAATAGTGTCCCATAAAGTTGATAATGGGACGTTTTATATTAAAAATGTCCTAAAAAACTTATTACGACGTCAAAAAACGTCATATAAACTTATTACAACACCTTTAGATATGACACTTTATTTTGTTGGTCCTATAAACTAAGTAGGTCTATTAGGACACTTAGAATTCGGGAGTATCCTATAAACCCGATTTTGTTGTAGTGAAACGTATATGATGTCCTATAAAACCGATTTTATCATAATAAACATTAACCGGTCACCTGAAATGTACCGGAGAATAGCTACGGAAGAAAACGTGGCTGGTTTTGGGATCACAATTCTTCAAAGCCCATGACTTCAATGTCTGAAGAGACTTCTCAAATGCCTCCATGACATCCATTGTCATGTTTAGTGTCCCTTTTTCCTGGAAATACCACCCCCTTAAAAAACAAACAAAAACCATCATCAGACGCTACAACAAAATCGATTTTATAGGACGAAAAACATGTCTAAATGTTTTTTAATATACTGTTTTATAGGACCAAATAATTATGTGTCCTACGTAAATGTGTTAGGACGTATCTAGCATGCATCATAACACGTTTTTTAGGATATATTTTTTGAAATAAAATGTCCTAATTGCTTTGTAATTAACACATTTGAATAGGGTGTGAAAAGGGTAAAGTTCAAACGAGAATGCGATCAATTTGCGAAAATGCAAGAAGTTCCAAGATCAAATGACATCATATATGATTAAACACATGTTACATTAACCGGCATATAGCGGGCGACTTTTCCCGTTTGTTTGCTTTCACCAAGTTGCCCGCATCCCTTTGAACGTGTTTCATCATATATGATTACGTGTTAGTATCACCTATAATCATTTATGATCTTGAAACTTTTCGCCTTCTCGCAAATGAATAAACATACCAACTTTAAATATATGACATGCAATTGTTTAATCATATAAAACAATCTATTTAGATATTTAGGGGTTGTTTACCTATAACACTTACTCGGTAAGTGCTTAACGGTAAAATTCAACTCTATCGCTTACTTACTAGGTAAGATTTTACTCTACCAAAACGACATCATATGTAACTATTTACCCGGTAAGCGCTAACCGTGGTAAGAGTCGTCGCCATCACTTATCGGGTAAGACTCTCGGTCCTTACTTTCGTTCTTACCAGGTAAGATTTTTGGTCCTTGTCATATCCATAATTCAGTAAAGAAAATATGACTTGGTAAACACTTAGCGAAGTAAGCATTTGGTAAACGGCCCGGATTTCGTTGTAGATTTCAGATTGGAACTTAAAGTTAAAGAAAACATAATTCTGAAAGTTATAATACCGACATCTTTAGGGTTTTGTCTTGGGTCCACCAGTGACCAGCACTGAAGACAAGAACATCTGCTCCAACCCATTTGGAAGAGAATCGGTGGAGTTTGTCAACCCTAATTGCTCGCCGGACTTGTCGAGAAGCATTTTCCGGCGGATCATCGATGACGACAAGCAGAGGCACACGGTAGTATTGGATGGTGAAATTGTAATCTTGAAACCTGATGGAAAGGAAGCCTCTGTGTTTGGTTATGGGGTTTCCATGCTCTTCGTATACTGTGGATCGGTTCGAGACTCCGTGAGTCAGCATGCATAGCAGAGACTCCCATTGGTTTCTTCCGATGGAGTCTCCGGCGAAAACCATCCGTCCATTTCTGCTTCTTTCCAGAAAATCTTTTGCATCAAATCTGTTTCATTAGATCGATCAACAAAGTCTACATGCAAATCTACATACACAAATTGATTACATAAATATTGTTTGGAATGATCACAATATGATTTGGTCCAATTCTATGATAAGATACATGGCAATGTGGCAGAAGTTCAGCGATTTAGATACAATTCTGATTTAGGGGTTGTTTACCAAACACTTACCGGTAAAATTTAACACTATCCTTTACTTATCATGTAAAATTTTAGTCTACCAAAACAGTATCGTATGCAATATTTTACCCGGTAAGCGTTTACCGTGGTAAGAGTCGTCACCCTCACTTACCGGGTAAGACTCTTTTTCCTTGTCTCGCTCTTACCGGGTAAGATTCTTGGTCCTTACCATATTCATCCGGTAAGAGAATGTGACTTGGTGTTCACTTACCCGAGTAAGTGTTTGGTAAACGATCCCTTAGCATTGTTTGCTTCATGAACGAATCCAACAGAAAGAAATGAAATATGGCACTACAATAAAATCCAAAAATGTATGACTATTTTATAGGACCAAACAGTCGCAATGAATTTATAGGATAATTTTGAGTATTTTAACAAGTTTTTATGACACTATTAAGTGTCGAATTAATTTCTTTTATATAATTTTAGCAAGAAATGTGGATAAAGAGACAATTTTATAAGACGTTTCTCAAAAGCGTCATGTGAAAAGGCTAATACGACACTTTGTTTAAAAAGTATCGTAGAAAATTTATAAAAATGCCCAAATACATCCTATGAAATCACTGCAACGTTTTTATATGGATCACACAATTATTTGGTCCTATAAACTAATCTATTAAGACATTTCTAGCGTCCATTAAACCTAAGTTGTTGTAGTGTGGAGTCATGAACGGTAATAATATGTGAAACCCATTAGATTACTTTCCTAATAGTTATTTAGGAGAAAATGAGATTCAAACATTTATCAAGAAAAAATGGTCAAAGTCTATTCATGCAACTCCAATAAGACCCCCATTCGGGAGGCTAGATGAATACAAATTGACCCAAAGTGCCAAGAGGGGGCTATACGGATACATATTCTTCCAGGTTGTCGAGTATATATACATTGGTTTTAATGGCCCAAGCAAAAATATATATGAAACCCCATTAGATTACTCTGTAAAAGAGTCGGTTTCAACATCTATTAATAAGACATTAGCCAAGTATAACCTACGTGGAACTCGAACACAGACCATATGATCTTGATAATTATGCAAAACACAATCTAGACGTAACTGTAGTCCAAAAATATTTAGCATAAATATATTACGCACCCTTGGTTACTATTCGAGAATAACCAAGAGTACAAATTAATCGAATCCACGACTTCTAATTTCATCGTGAATATTGAAAACGACAAGCCTGAGTAGAAGCATTGGACTCGATTAGAAATTCTCTGTGTTGGAATCACTATAACAAAATTGAGTTTATAGGATACCCCTAATCTCTAAGCGTTCCAGTAGACCGTGTTATAGGACTCAATTTATAGGACCAAAATATAAAGCGTCATATCTAAAGGTGTTGYAATAAGTTTATATGACGCTTTTGGGCGTCTTAATAAGTTTTTTAGGACATTTTTAATACMAAGTGTCGCATTAGCAACTTTATAAGACACTTTTGAGAAAGTGTCCTATAAACTCATTTTTTTATAGGACACTTGTTTTTATAGGACAGTTTTTCAAATAGTATTCTATAAATTTGCTAATAGAACGCTTTATATTAAAAGTGTCCTAAAAAACTTATTACGACGTCAAAAAACGTCATATAAACTTATTATAACGCCTTTCGATAGGACACTTTAGTTTTTTGGTCCTATAAAGAGGTCTATTAGTATGCTAAAAAATTGAATGTCCTAGCTATAAACCCGATTTTGTTGTAGTGAATGGAATTTAAGTTTCCTTTGCAAATTGGAAAAAGGAAAACAAAGTTCGCTTGCAAAATCACATATGAAGGAAAACTTTGTGGAAGTTTCCAAGGGATGATTTTGTAGCCAAGGATGTATTAGGAGTAATCAGTCACTTGATAAATAAATAAATATATATATATATAAATATATATATATATATATATATAGAGAGAGAGAGAGAGAGAGAGAAGTTGGTTATTATACAACCCTTGACATTTGTACAACTAATACAACCCAATCTCAACCGTCCATTTCATTTGATTAATATGTGATTTCATCGAAATTTTGATTGTTTTCTAATATAAAGTATTGATCATAATTAATGAACTATATTCATCTTCCATAAATATTCAAATCATAATAAATGAACTCTCATCATTTCCATAAATATCTCAATTTATTGGGTTGCATTGGTTGTACAAATGCGACAGATTGTATTTGAAACAAACACTCTCTATCTCTATATATAAATTCTGAAATTGCAGAAAAATAAAAGTTGTTGTATAATATCTGGAGTGTAAACAACAATCTATAGAAATGAATCAATAAATACTTGATTTGAGTAGATTCTTGCAAAAACCGAGATAATGATTCAGGCATACCCTGTGTAGTTTCCTAAGACAAAATCCGCTAGTATAACGTCTATTTAGAGGTCCACTACAATAAAATTGGGTTTATAAAACACTCCTAATTTCTAAGCGTCTTAATAGATTTTTTTATAGGACTTAGTTTATAAGACCAAGAAAATAAAAAGTCTTATCTAAAGGCGTTGTAATAAGTTTATATGACATTTTTTGACGTCGTACTAAGTTTTTTAGGACACTTTTAATATAAAGCGTCTCATTAACAACTTTATAGGACACTATTTGAAAAACTGTCATATAAAAACAAATGTCCTATAAAAAATTGAGTTTATACAACACTTTCTTAAAAATGTCCTATAAAGTTGCCAATGCGATACTTTGTATTAAAAATGTCCTAAAAATTTGTTAAGACATCCAAAAGCGTCATATAAACTTATTACAACACCTTTAGATATGACGCTTTATATTTTGGTTCTATAAATCAAGTCCTATAAAACGGTTTATTGAAACGCTTAGAGATTGGGGGTGTCCTATATATAAACCCAATTTTGTTGTAGTAAGGATACAACAATCGTATTCAAGTAGAACTTGAATCTAGCGAAAGAGTGAGAATTGGACGAGTTAACTTTTTTCATCTAGTTGTATATACCTTCAATTACCTTCATCTACTTTATCCTCATTTTCGGGCAATTTTAAATACTGTTACATACAGTTAATCACTTTCATATTCATAAATTTGTTAAAATCTCGAACATAATAATAAAAATAGATAAATAACGATACTTAAAAAGTAAACAAAGATTTCAATTCATCGAAATTATCAATAGCTACCTATATATATTGATTAACCTCCATATCTAACCCGCTATACGAACCGACAGATAGTTCGAAGTTACCGTATTTGAACCTTCGTGGCCACAAGGAAATTTATATTATAAAGGCATGAAAATAATTAAAAAGAAAAGCCATGCATGCAGTTTAATATTGCAGAAACAATTAATTAGAAACTGGAATTCATATTAATTACCTGGGTAAATTACACCCATGTGGTTGCCATCGCCATTTCACATACCCAACATCCAGCCGCCCATTGCGGCGGCACTGGAACCCTGGATCAAGAAACGGGCAATCCTCACTGTACTTCCGGGTCGGGTAATTTTCATCCCAAACCCATTTCCCGTACGAATAATCACATGGCGAGGCATTTGGGGTTCTTGAGAAGCTAAAAGGAAGAAGGAGATGAGGGTAGAAAGGGGTTACGAGGTTGCAGAAAACAATGGAGGTTATGAGAAGAGAGATGAAGAGGATGAATGAATAAGCCACATCTTTCTTATTGGGAAAAGATAGACTGAAAAGATGATGTAGCTTTTGTGGGTGATCACTTTCTTGATGAAGATCCATTAGAAAAGGATCCACGATTGGTTCAATCACGGATAAATTAGGGTTTTTTTTTCTTTTTTAATTTTGGTTAGTTTTCAAAGGAGAGAGAGAGATTGAGTTTTTGATGGGTAATCTTGTTTGTTTATATATGAAGAAAATTATTTGTATATTAGACCCTACTAAAAAGAAAATAAACCTTAATAACCTTCATATGTAACATTTACACTAAGGAGCCATAAGAGTGGATCCTAATTGGTTTTAGCTTGACTTCAAAAGTCAAAAATACCAGGAGGTCCCAGATTCAAATTTAAGGAGGAATAAAAATTTCCTTGTGGCCACAGAGGTTCAAATACGGTGACTTCAGGCTATTTGCAAAGTAGATGGTCGTCTTAGGATTAGTTAGCTCGCATAGCAGGTTGGATATCCAGGTTAATAAAAAAAGTTACACTAAGCACTACTTTTTAGATAATCATAGTGTCCAGATCAGCTTAGCTTGTGCATAATTCAATCAATTTTATGGGAAGTAAAAAAGTTAACATTGAGGCAAGCCATCCGATGGTTCTCTCAGGATTTGAAATGGTGAGCTATGGGGAGCAAAACCATGCTTTTATCTGTTCAGTTTTTAATTTAGATCATGTTTGAATCACTGCTTGTCAGTGCCGATTGAAGAACAACCACAATCAAGTCAAAACCAATCTACTAAACAAGAGAACGTAAACACCATTGAGCATTAACTTGGAGATGGAAGTCTTTTTTTTCTCGACAGTGAAGTAAGACCACAATTTAAACAAACTCTTCCTTCATCTCCAATTCAATGAGATTGAGCTCCGTTGTTATCTGTTAAAACATATCTTGATGACGTCCTAAAGCGCTCATGTGGATATCAGGGTAAGAAACACCCTCATGTGGATCCTCAAATGCATCAATTGTCATATACAATGAAAAAATTGTTGATGGAAGTGATGACTATTGAAACAATTGGTATGAAGTAGGGTAAAACTGATGAGATTGTTGGGGTCGAAACGACTTAGGACAAGGAACAAGAAAAGCAACATGCAAGTTTGTTTTAGACCTTTCTTAAGTTCGTCTACTATTTTTGAAAGCATTTCATAATGCAGGAATTGAAGTGGTAGATATCAAAGATTGGTGAACAAAATGCAAATTAGTGAAAGTATAGGGGCCATGTATATGAAATTGAAGATATAGAGTTTTTATTAATTATATAGGTTTCTTGAAGATGGAAAAAAGATTTGGCCTCTTGTTTGACCTCAACGTGCAACCCATGATTCCACACTTTAACATAAAGTACTCAATTTATATTCAATGTTAATGGGAAATTGCATAAAAAATAATGTATTACATTTTTATTTATGTTTTAAAAATATATATTATATCTATTAATTAATCTTCCAGGAAAATAAATACCAATAAATCATTTTAAAATATATACTACAAACAAAATGGTGAATTTTGTCAAAGACCTTCCAGCTTAATGGTAAAGGTTTGGGCATGACATAGTCATGAACATGAATTCGAGCCCTGGGAGGGAAGTGTTGGCGACATTTAAGTGAGACCATGTTTAGCCTCCAAATTTGCCGGGGATTAGTCGGGTTTTGGCCCGGACACCCTTAAAAAAATGGTGAATTTTTAATGCATTAAAGAAAACTCAGATGTGGATCCAATTAATGAAACATGAATTTTAGTAAAAAGAGTAATATTATAAATTGTATTTCATAAAAGTCTCGAGATTGAGTCATCTATTTTTATCATTTTAATTAATAGTGATATTATTAATTTATATATAATACATAAAGTGAAATAAAATAAAAAAGAAAATGATAATGACAAAAAATAAAATGGAAATCTCTAGTTTAATCTAGAATAAAAATTTGGATTTCGTAGGAATGAACCGATTATATTAACAATTTTTTTTATTTTTTATTTTCATTGATTATTGTTTAATACTTATAAACAAACATTTCCTTAATTTTAATAAATAATTAAAGGGTTTGGTTCACACAATCTTATTGAAATAAATAGAACGTGTCAAACTAATTGAAATATGAAGAAATTAAAATGGCTAAATTAGGTTTGATACGCATTTGATTGGCCACAAATGAAAGAAATATATCAAAAGAATGTAAATCTATAATTATAATGAAATAATGATAACTAATCAAAACATTCATTTATGATATAATCTTACTTTTTGCTTAAATTATAAATAGTATATAGTGATAAAATTAATAGTATTATTAATTGGTGCTGTGGTAGCAATGGCGATGGTAATGGTTGCGAAGATAGTGGTAAGGAGGTGGGGCCATGGTGTTGGCTATGACAGTGGGGAACTGGGGATGGTGGTGGCGAAGAAGGTGACATTAGCAACAAGTAGATGTGGTGGCATACTGGCATAAGCGGCAATGGCGATGCTTTTGGAGACGATGAAAAAGGTGGCAGTATTAGCGGGTGGTAAGTGTAGGCATGGTGAACTCGCAACAATGTTGGGTTAAATTGGATATGCTCTCACCTTCCAACTTGTCATGGTGATGGATATCCTGAGACACTTCTGCTACACTGGCGAGGTGAAGACCTCGAAGGACAAGGAAGGAAAATCCATCGTCAAGATCTTCTGTGAGATCAACAATATGACAGTGAGTTTTGGTTACTCAACAGTTCGCATTGCTCTACGGCTTCCGAAGACAGTTCCCTACTCCCGCGATCCAGATAGTGATCTTATCGTCAAATTTCTAAACGGTATTCACTATGACTGGCCGTTGAAGAAAGACTATGATTTAAAGCTCAACAAGTCTCTGACCAAGATTGAGAAGAACCGGACGTCCATGATGTGACAATACTTGTTTTCTCACTTCATTCAGTGCATGGGTGGGAAAACAGGAGGCCAAGACCAGGCAAGCAAGGTAGCGCTGAACATCGGTTGTTCAGTTATCAAAATTGTCAACATCAACTATGCTCAACTCATTTTTGATGACTTGGCACTGAAGCTGAACAAGCGCCAACGAAAAAAGGTGGTTCCTTACACCAGGTTCCTGAGCAGAATTTTAGCCAAAATCCTTGCAATAAAATACCCCACTTAGAGCGACCTTCCCTTCTATAGGCTTGGATCATGGATTCTTTATCACAAGTCCAAGCCTTCAGACATTGGTCTATTCCCTCAAATGTTGAGGATAGCCAATGCTTCTACTCTTCTTCCTTCTTCTTATTCTCCTCTTCTTCTTTCTTCTTATTTTCCTCTTCTTCCTTCTTCTTCAGTAGCCATGACTGTGGCAAACCCCTCTCAGTCTATCTCAACTACTACCTCTTTATCCTCTCGTAAAATGATACGTTCTGAAGCCACTCCTAATTCCTCAAAGAGGGTTAAGAAAGCCATAAATGGGAAGCCCTATCAACTAGTTGAGACCTCTCAATAAGTCTCATCTATTGAACTTCCCCTTACCACCGAGGCATTTGCTTTTCCCCTCCCTTCCACTTCAACAATATCTTCTATTGCTATCGCATGCGTAACACCTATCCCAACCACTTTAGTGACTCAAATCACTGAATGTGTGATTCCCAACATTGCCACTACTGATCCTTCACATCTCTTCTCAACCGTTCTCTCCTCCCCTCCTTTGGTCTCTATCACACGAGCTGATGAACCAATGGTGGTTGTCCCCACTATTAGTGAAGCTATCACCACAGGACCTGAGGATGCTCCTCTCGACTCCCCTCAGCAACGTGCGACTGATCCTCTTGATAGTGCATTCAGGACCCTCGGCCTCAACGGTAATCATTTGGATACTGCAGAGGAACCCTCAAGTATACACCTTACCCCTTCCACTTCTTTCTTTGTTACTAACCCTGAGCTCTCTGATGCTCAAACCTCTTCTCTCTTTACAGGTCCTGCTGGTGAAGATGTGAAGGATGAAGATGATAATGATGAGGATCCTGATCCCTAGATCCTAGATGCAAGTATTGACCTTGGTGGTGATGACGACGACGACGATGATGATAATGATGATTTCTCCGTCCAAGTCATACCAAGACAAGCTGCTAAAGTAATCTCCTTTAGGGAACTTGCTTCCTAGGGGGAGACATCTTCACACCAACACTCCTACTCTGGCAAAGGGAAATGAATTGTTGAAGATAACCTTGCCCTACTCCTTGGGGCACTCAGCCAATCTGAGGACGCAAACACTTTAACAACATTTGTACCCTCCACCTCAGAAGCTGAACCTTCTTTTTCTCTACCTCTATTTCTCTCTGCAACACCGACCCTCAATCTCTCAACCCATCTTTCTTATTTTGAAACCCTTGAGGATGATGAAGGTGAAGATGAAGCCTACAACCTCATCCCAGGAAGTCATCAAGACAATATGTGTGCTCAGAGGATGAAAAAGACTTGAGGATGCCTCAGCTTATAAGTCAACGTGACCAATCTAGAGTAAAAATTCCTCTTCACACATCTGGATGTGGTAAGTTCGACTTTCTCTCTGAAGTTGAACGCGAGGAATCCCTAAAAGCTGAATAAGAGCTGAAGCAACATGAGCAACAACTAAAAGACAGCCTGGAGTTATCCAAGACTCTAGCTGATCAAGATCATGCAGAAGGGATGTTCAAGCAAAATGATCCTCTTAGTGCTCAAGCTCTACTCCTGGAAAAAGCTAAACAGAAAAGACAAAGAGTGCTGAAGCTGAAGGATTACTGATCTGAATTGGTGCAAAGACAAATTTTTCAAACGTTACAATTAGTAGATGAATAAAAGATGGTGGCTTTCTTGTTTTTAGGGTCATCTTCCAAGAGAACAACGATGTTGTCATTGAGTATCCTTCCTTTTTCAGTCAGTATGGTCTCTATGAATGGCTTGAGATTCGACACGCAATTCAAGAGTCCAAATCTAGGCATAAGGCTTATATTGAAGAAGTTCTAAATGAACTATTCGACAAAGTGTCGAAGATCGTTGAGGTTCCTCCTCTGTCACAGAAGTCCTTTTGAAGAAGAAACCTTTTTGCTCATGGAGAAGG